CTCACAGATACAATACAAATACAATACAAATACAATTTATTCGTACAAATCATCACATCCAAGTTGGTGAGTGCCAAATAGAAATTAAGAAGTGAGTGGTTGACTTTGATTGATGCACAATCTTTTTTTTTTCTTTTCTTGAGATGGCATTCAAAACGTGGAGATGTGATTTAAAATGGGCACGCCTCATCATTCACAAATGTATCAAAATGGAAGAAGGATTATCTTCTCTCTTTTTTTTCTCCCTCCATTCTCTTCTCTTTTCTTCAATTTGAAAGGTTATCATTAAGTTACGTTAACTTCTTATATTAATTTTTTTATAAAGAGAATAAAATAAAATAAAAAATGTGAGAGAATGAGAAAGGAATAGAAGGAAAGAGAATTATACTCCGTAAAAATGTGGAGGCAATAGTTAGTCAATACAGCCCACCCACTATTTTATATGTACATGCATAATTCCATATACACTAATAAGACCATTTCAATTTCAACTCAATTTAGAGGCAAAATTAAATGAATTTGATCATCACTTGTCTACTTTTATAATCCAAATGGGCAGCCAAAATTGAAAGACAAAAATATATGATAAAAAATGACTGATCGAGTCTCGTACATATCAACGGACCAACTCTTTGTCTAACAATACTTTTTGTTTTAATGTTTAGAGAAACTGAAGTTTAAGTATTCTATTTCTCGTGTTAATCCATTTCATCTAGTTGTACTTTCTTTTTCTTTGTCGAAAGAAATCTTCTTCTTTTTTCTTTAAAAGAAGGATAATTAGTAGTAAGTCACAGTTATCCACTTCTTCCGGGATCAAGAAGACTCATAGAGGCATTTTAGCTTTTCCTGCCACAAATCTGACTTCCACACCAACAACGCTTTTGAACCTGAGACCTCTAATTTTTAGTTTTAAGAAAACCTCGTAATTTGTCCTTTACCAACGGACCACCAGCTTATGATCTAAGGGTGTGTTTGTTTGCCTTTAATAATCTTCATTGGACTAGACTGGACTAGCAATGAATGTAGTCCCGTGTTTGTTTGATGGAATGATTAACTTTAGTGGGATTCGGAGGCACTCGCCTCGCCTAACGCCCTCACTAGAGGTTCTTAGCGAGTCCCTCCAAAAAACAGCCGGATTGCTAAAACTGCTTCGCTTCGCCCTTCCAATCCTCTACGGGCTTTCGTCAATCTCATCTTTTTGGCTATCAAACGAATCGATCTCGTCCTTTATACATCAACAGCTGCTGTAGCAGATCGACAACGTCCTCAACAAAACGATCTCATAGTTCTGTAGGGGTGATGAAAGGGTTTTAGAGGGATTGACCGACGGCAACGACAAGCTTCTCGCTGTCTCCAGTCCAGCCTCTCTTCCTCCTGCAAGCAGCGACGCAAGGTTATCTCTTCCACCTCCTCCTCATTTTCTTTTTTCTGATTTGAAACAAATTCAAAGTTGTAAACTTTGAAGAAGGAGAAATTGAATTGTTTTGTTCTTTTTGTTTGCAGATTCTTGAAGTAGCAGAGGAAAAATGAGAGTTTTATGCTTTTTTTTTTTATTTTGCGATTATCGGTTTTGGTTGTGGTAGTCTGGTGGGTTTCTGTGTTTTCATCAATTCAAAGCTTGAGGAAGTGAATGTAAAATCTTTTCTTATTTGAAGCTTTTGATTTTTGGGTTTTTTATATAATGCAAGAATCTTTCAAGTGGAAATAATTCATGTGTTTTAAGTTGTTGTTCATGGTGTGTGCTCAATTAATTAAGTATTTTGTGTTAGAGATTTTGGATTAAACAATTGGTTGAACTTGCCAGCCTTGATGTATTTGATTGCATTTAGTATCACATGCATCTTATGAATTTCTGAATTCCAGACACAATAAAATAAAATAAAAAGGAATCTTCAATTCCAATTTCTATGTTAATTTGAATTTTGAGCTTGTATTTTTATTGAGTCTCACTCTCATCCAATATTATTAATTTTAATAATATCTTTAATAAAAAAAAATAGAACAATAATGTAGTTCTAGTTTGAGCAAACACCAAACTGATGACAATACTGTTTTCATTATCCTGCTTCTTAGTCCGACACTACACCAAACGCTTCACTAAGCTAGTTCAACTTAATCTAGTCTAAACCAGTCCAACTTAATCCCTGAAACTAGTTCAGTTCGAAATAATTCGATACAACAAACACATCATAATAGTACTTTTTTTTTCTCTTATCAGAAAGAAATCTAAGTTCGAATATCTCATCTCAGTGTGGCTCGTGACTCGTGACTAGGACCAGTAGAATGTTCCAGTATGGTTGCACGTGGAGCGGCATGTGCAGAAATGGTTGTTTGATGAGGGGTGATAAATAAAACCAAAAGATGTAAACATCATGGGACATCAAGGATATGGATGAAGCCAAGCGAAAAGGTCTGACAGAGCTATGTCGGTATCTTCAAGATCATGGTTCCCAGTCAAACTGTAATATGCTTCATCCACTCATCTTTTGCCACGCAATCTCTTTCGGTTGGATTTACGGTCAAATTGTTTGACCAGTGACTGGATATTTTCACAAACTTAGCTTAGATACATCGATGGTAATGGATTAAACATCAAAATTATATGACAGCAAATGTATGACGTCTCGTCAATTGTGTTTGTCAACAATTAATTCATCGCATTTGTGACGTCGAACAATAAAAAACTATGATATCTTATGTCAAATGTACAAATATTTTTGTTCTTGGCATGACTTGATTTCTAGATTCGAGTTGTTGGTTGAAGGTATTATGAGTTGAAGAGTTTTCAGTCTATGGTTTTCTTTGTTGAATGAGAAACAGAATTGCAGACGATGCTGGATAGGACGAATTTCACGTTCGTATTACATATGATATGTCTTAGATTTAATTTCTGATGTTGATGAATTACACGATGGTAGTAAAAAAAATACTAAAATGCTTCTGCAAGTCTTTCCAACTCTTGAAATTGTGGACTACTATGACAAAGCTACCCGCTGATCTTTTTTTTTAAACGATAAAAATTATTTGGGTGGACAACGTTGTGCATAAACTTCTCCTTCTAACACCGTCTAATAAATTGCACATGTAAACTTCCTTGTGCATAAGGGAGTTGGTCGCATGGGTTGGCCCTCTACCCCCATTTGCAATAACTAAATATAGTGTAGCTAACCACCTACCATATAATTAAATTTGTGCATTAACGTAATACTAGATATACATTTTTTTCCGTATTAATACATAAAAAGAAAAAAAAAATTGACCTTCTTTTATAAAGCATAATAAAAGTTACATTTTTTTTCGTATTAATACACAAAATAAAAAAAAATTGACCTTCTTTTATAAAGCATAATAAAAGTCAAATTTTTATCGTGAATACGTAATGCACCACAGCTCAGATATTTTGATTTTCAGCATATGAAAAATAAAATTTTGTTGACTGTAACATGATCATGGGATAAGTCAACGGTAAATAATGAGGAGGGAATAATGGGTATACCAATATCTTGTCCCTCTCTCTATATATATAGTAAGGTTTCTTATTCTCTCCTACCCCTCTCGTAAAGATTCCCTTTTCCTAAAGCTTCTCAAGAACCCTCACAATATATAATTATATATAGCCCAACAATTCAACCAAAAATAAAAGAAGATATTATCCCATCCTTCCAACTTAAGTAATTTTCATGGCTGCAGAACCCTGCTCCTCATCGTCATCAAGTTCCTCATCATCTTCAAACCTAAGAATCACAGTTGAAAGAAACCCTTCTGAATCTCGCTTATCCCAACTGGACATCAAGTGCTGGCCCAAGTAAGTCTCTCACCTCCCCTCCTCTCACTCTCTCTCACTCAGTAAATCAAGGATTAAGCGAGATTAGCTCTTCAGTGCCACGAAGGCACAAGGTTTGCCACTCTCAACCCCCAACACGAGAGGACCCCTCCACTCTCTCTCTTTCTCACTCCCGATAGAGGGTTAAGCGTGATTAGCTCCTCAGTGCGGTCAAAGGCACAGAGCTTCCATCTCTCTCTCTCTCTCTCTCTACAAAATATATAACTTGGTACTTTTTGTTGATTTATTTATGTTTTTGTTTTTGTTTTGGGATTATGAATTGACAGATGGGGTTGCTCGCCGGGGAAGTACCAGCTGAAGTTTGATGCGGAGGAGACGTGTTATTTGTTGAAGGGAAGAGTGAAGGCGTATTATCCAAAAGGGTCGTCGGAATATGTCGAGTTCGGAGCTGGAGATCTTGTCACCATCCCAAAGGGACTCACCTGCACTTGGGATGTTTCTCTTGCTGTTGATAAACACTACAAATTCGAATCTTCTTCTTCTTCTTCTTAACCATTATTATCATGAATTAATCATGATTATTGTCTTCTTTTGCTCATAAATTTCAGATTTTTTATTTTGTTTTTTGTTTTTTGTTTTTTAGGGTTTGTGAATTTTTAGAGAGAGATCGATAGTTCGATTAGTAGTCAAAGGGAAAATAATTAGTCAATGCATGTCCCATTGGAACCAACCCTCCTTTACGTATTGGCTATTAGCTTTTAATGCTCCTTTGACTGGTCAAATAGGATTTGTTAAAAAAAAAAAATTCCTCTTTTGTGGGCAATGATTTAGACACCGGCCTGTTCTTTTGAGTTGGTACAATCATCGAGTTCAAATCTTCTGCAACCGTTTTTATACTAGCCGAGAGAATTAGACAAATCAAACTTAGAATCTCGGATGCAACCATGCATGGTTAAAATGCTTTAAATCATTGTCTTACAAACAAAGCAATTAGGAAATTGGTTAAGATTCTTATTTGTACGTGCGACTACAATTAACAATCTCGACAAACAATTTGCCAACACAATGATTCTTATTTGTATTTACGACTACAATTAACAATCTCGACAAACAATCTGACAACATAATGTATCAACTCACCTAGCAAGAATATATCACCTTAATTCACAAAATAACATCTAGCGGTCCCCAAAAAAAAAAAATTAGAAATGATGGATCAATGCAAATAAGTATGACTTCATTAACAATCTAACAACCCAACATCTAGTTAAGTCAATACAAACCACTAATCGTAGTTAAGTCAATACAACCCAACATCTCTCCCTCAACTTTTATTAAAACAAGCAGCCCAAAAGTACAAGCAAACCAAATGCCCAACTACAACTATACACAAACAGAAAAGGACCGAAACCAACTGAAAAAAGAAAGAAGCCCCACAACAGGGAAATCCAAAAAAACACACAACAGCCAACCGAGAAACTTCTATTGAAAACTCCTCCATCGACAGAGATCCAGGCCAGCCACAGGAAACGTCATCCACCATCGAGCAACGCCGTCTCAAACACCACCGCCAACCCCGAACATCAACCATATCACAACCATTAACAGGTGATAGTTAGCACCAAAGAGGGATTAGCCAACTACTGGGAAGAAGCTCAGGGAAACCCACGAACAACACGGCCAAAAACAGTAGACAGCAAGGAGAACGTGATGGTGTGGGAAACACCTGAGCCAGGAACAACACCTCAACTCTACACACGAACTCAAAAGGAACCATGGCTAAAGATCGGACTGAGGAAGAGATGGGGAGAGGAATACCCACGAAAGATGAAGAAAAGGACAAGCCCGAGGGAAAAATAGGGAGAAGCATCAAAAGAAGAAAAGGAAAAGAGGCAACCGACTCCAGCCAAAGCCAGAGTCAGCGCCTGAGAAGGTGGACAAGATGAAGACCCTCACCAAAGGGGGAAGAAAACTCTCACAGAGGAGAGAGGGTCTCTCACGGAAGGAGAGAGAAAAGTTTTTTTACCACTAATCTTAGTTTTATTTTTTTGGAAGACACTAATCTTAGTTTTGATAAAGCATTAGACTTCGGATCCCATTCCTTTTTGTTTGTTTAGCCGGATATGATGCTGTTTTGTGCTACTTTCCACTGTGTGCAGGTCTAGTATAACTAGCTGGTGACGCAAAAAATCATAGAGGATTTTTGGACTTCTTTCTTTGAATTCTAGACATACAAAAGCAGTCTCCATATCAAAATTGCACTTCACAATTTGATACGGTTACACGAACACAAAATGGGCTTATGAACGGTCTCTTAATTGATCAAACACGGTTTTATGTACACGCACGAAACTTCAATCTTGCTTCGCCATCGCCCGTAAATGCATAAACTCTGCCATCAGCCTCAATGAAGCTGGCTGTGCCATCTTTCAGGACCCCCGACGCCAGCTTCCGCTGCTGATTGGATCTATGATTTGAGAGAAGCACGCATAGGGTTAGAACCATGTGGCTCCAACTGCAGAAGCTGTTTTATGGATTTGCTTTCCCAATATCTACATTGTCATGGATCCTGCAACCAAAACAGCATTCAAAGTTTCAAACAAAAGAATTCAAGTCATGCATTTTGTATGGTCCGCAGAGTACTCAAAGCAAGAATTCAAGTCATGCAGGGAGGCGAAAATGAGATGGTACACGTTCTAGTCTAGTTTTTAGAACTTAGCATCTTCTGAATTACTAGACATGGAAAATATAGAACAAAACGAAATACCAGTACTCGAACCCTAATGTATTACAAGCCAAACAAACACAAATACACGCCAAATTTTTAAGCCAATTTGTACGATCCAAAACCATCTCCATACAAAATGTAGACCAAATCCAGAACTCTAACCGGTTAAATAAATAAATAACCCTCAATCTATCACAATTTATCATACCAGTAATACCTCCCCTCCCCCACCCTCCAAAAAAATAAACAAAAGAGAACAAAAACCGATAAAAACCCAAACCCAAACCCAAGTTTGCAAATGAATATAAAGATAAGCATGCAAACATTGAAAATATAGGAAAATACATCTACCTGAAGGAAAAAGGCTAGGCTTCTGGAGTCCTAAAAGATGCTCAGCAAGCAATTCTCTGAACCATTTCCCTCAACATCTGAACAGAGAATAGGAATTCAATTCTAGTGAGATTATTATTAGTATTATTATTTTTGAGAGAGAGAGAGAGATGTCAAAGTGAAGTTCCAAAAATAGATTGCATGCAGCGAATAATCGAGTCCAAATAGGTCATTTTGTTTGTTCTTGTTTTCCTTTTTGGGGTAAGAAAGATTCCATATGGTACGACCATACAGCCCTTTTGATTTCAGGCTTAAATCATCCTTTTACGCATTTATATCCAAGGTCTTAAATGGATGACCCAACACCCATTTATTCAGAGCAGGTAACTGGTACGGGCATATATATCAACACGACAATTGACAACCAGCATTATTTTTTTTTCAACCAACACATAAACACCAACTTTGATCATGTAACAAATGTAAAGATCTTCAAATGGTAACATTACCACCTGCCAAACCCGGCAACCCAACTAATGACTTTATTGACCCCTTATAATGACACAAGGAAAACTCAACAAGAAGCATGAAAGGAAGAATATGCTACAACCTTGCTGACTATACTGCAACAGCCGTATTTTCCTCTGTAAAGTAATTTGGTCCAATGAACTTTTCATCTCGAGCACCATCAAACTGGAGTACCCTAAGCTTCCCTTCCTGCAATTCATGAAAATTAGCATTGTAAATGGGAAAACACAACCTTCCAAAAAAGAACAAAAGGGCAGTAGATTGATCATTGCAAGATTTCTGAAACATCAGAAGCACACCTTGGTCCCATAAACCAGACCTCCACCAGCAAAGGGATGAAAGCAAGCAACATTAACCTCATCCTCTGCACTGGGAAGTACTCTCACAAGTTCCATATCTGAAACTCTGTAAACCTAAATAAAGAAAGAAATGATGGTAATTTAAGAGTCCGACAAAGTAAAACTTTAACAACAGTAGCAAACAACATGCCAACTGAGAGAGTGCTGACATATTAATTAAGCAGAAAAATCTATCTGAAACCCTGTAGACCTTAATAAAGAAATATATGTGGTAACTAAGAGTCTGACAAAGTAAAACTTTGATAATAGTAGTAAGGTTCACTCAATTTTGAATTTTTATAATGAATCCAGTCCATCACTCTTTGTCATAAACACAGAAAACCAAGTCCAACCATTGTGCCTTCACAATATCACCAAATAGGCATACTATTACATCCCCTAAATGAAGACTATTCAACTTTTTAAGCTTTCTAACTTATACATCTAAAAAAATAAAGCATATCTCAACGAATAGTACTTTTTGCTAACTAATACTTTCCCAAAGAACAAACACAAAGCAGAAAGAGAGATAACACGTTCTACTCAGTTGCAGGACAAGAAGGAAGACTCTGGAAGCTCACCTCAAGAACAGTGTAAATAGGTACAGTTGTATCCCCATCAACGACAATACTTTTAAGAAGAGAACCATGGCGGCGACCATAGGCCAGTAATATGTGCTCAGACGTGGGGGAGAACTGCAGGCACAACATAAAGCACAGAGACTCAACTCAAAAATATCCTTTTGACATCGAATGCAAAAGTACCAGTAGTTGCGAATTACACTAAATCAACTATAAGTACCAAAGGAACAGGCACAAATACAGTTTATTGTCAGTGGCAAATGACAATAGAGCAAAACAGCTTCCGGAAATAGACATAAGATTAAACAAACAAGAAAGTCATTATCCAACCTAAACCTGCATAATTGTCAACCATGAATTTCGACCTTATCATACATAGAACAAGAGGTCAATGATCCAAGTCATAGTAGAAAATGAGCCCAAGGTAATAAAAGCACGACACAAGGCACCAGAGAATAAATAGAAATAAAAGCAATAGTAGTCAAATTTTCTTTGAAACTAACTTGGATTGAAGTCAAACAATGTGCTGCTCTAATTGCCCGAGAGACAAGTATCGAACCAAATCTGCACGAGATAATAGAATAACTCATATATAAGATGTTGATAAAAGAATAAAGGAAATAAGAAGGAGTTGACAAAAGGATTAGAAATTTACGTGGCCTCCTCAAGTGAATATATGCGAAGCTCATACATAACTTGGTGAGCTGAGATTGGGTGCCGAGTTGGGGATGTTGCAATTCCAGAATCCTGATGAACTAGACTTTGTAGTCCAGGGTCAGCTTCCGTATGAGGAAGCATGCATGCAACACAGGCAGCTAAAAATCTCCCACAGGGGGAGAAATGAGCCCCCATTTCACTGCAAAAGCACATGCCACACAAAGTTGTAATAAAACATAATTACAAGCTGAGCAGAAAAAATCCTTCAATTGCATCTGATTACAATTGTTTTTAATATAGACGCGAGTGCTAGAAGATATTGTAAATTTATCAAATACTGAAGCCATGTAGAAGAATGAAGAATATTGTAAAAGGAAAACTGGTAAAAGAAACGAAATAAAGGAATACCAAAGATGTTCACATACCTGCAAAGAACAGCATGAGGAACAATTAAACGACATCTTTCAGCATTCAGCGGAGCAGAAGGATTTTTTATATCATGTGACCATACTCTTAGTTTTACAGTGCATGGTAATTCTGCAGCTGCTGCTGCAGCCATTAATGTATCAATATCAGACTGGATTCGACTAATAATGGGCTGTGCATCATTCTCATCGGGTTGGGTACTTAAGGAAGCACTATCCCCTGATTCTGGTCCAGAGAAGTGGAAGTGCGGATAATAATGCTGCAAGCCAGATCTTCCAGAAAGCCCAGATACACTGGTGCTTCCTGGCAATGCTAAAGAAGCTGCCACATCCGTCACGTTATGAGCAGACAGATGTGACACCAAACTAGAAGAACCCATAGGCTGAGCTAAATTGTTAAGCCCACCATGATTAAGAGGAAGCATTAAGGGAAAATTAGCTTGGCTTTGACCTGTTAACCACCCTTGGAGAAAAGGCAATTCCCAGAATGCAGGATCTCTATAAGGAAACGTTCTATAAGGTTGCCCAAATTCAGTAAAACCAGGATGACTTGAAGTATTTTCAGGTACTCTATTATTCACAGGATCTAAATTCATCCAGCTTCCATGCTGGCTTCCTCCTACAGCTGGCATCTCATCAGTCTCCATTGCATCTCCTGTGCGGTCACAAGCATCACTTCTCGTTCCATTAAGGAAATAATTATCTGCATTGCCTTCAGCATTGTGATTGGAAACAATTGGAGCTGATGGAAATGTCTCCATTCGAGAAACTGTGGTAGCATCCTGCTCTGCTGCATTTACATCTGCTTGAAACTGCATTGAAGCAGAAGTGACTTGCATGCTATTTGATCCAGCAGGTCCGTTTTCAGGCTGCATTACTATTCTTGGATCATCTACATATGGCGGCACGAAGACAAAAGGCAAGGACATAAGTGGTAGTTGAGTAGCCAAACTAAGACGTTCACTAAAATCAACGTTTGCCACAAAAACAGCAGGAGATGGATATTGCAAGTAGCCGGGAGATGTTGCTTGAGACATTGAGGAATCTGAAGAGTCAAGATCATTGACCTGCATATCAGTTTAATAATGTAACCTATACGATAGCAGGAATGAAGAATCACTTAAATGCCCTCTGGAAAATTACCTCAGCAGTTAAGAGAAACGGAGCAGCTTGGGGGTGAAAATGCACTGCTCGAAGGGAACGCCATGTTTTTAATACCATGTCTGGAGAAGAAGGTTCCCCATTGTATTTCCATATATACAACTGAAACCAGATTTTCTATGTCAGTGTTATCAAAATATATATCCCATTACTAACCATCAATGATTGTATGATATACTAAAGAACCGTAATAAAAAGAATCAACACCTTGTGTCCTGATGCAACAGCTAGGAGTTCCCCATTGGCATGAAAAGCAATAGATGCAATAGGTCGATCTGGGGAGAGAATCATAAAGGGATATGAACTATGTCAGAATTCTAGGAAAAATGTACAATGTGTCAAAAAAAAAAAAAAAAGCCTACTAATTTAGTAAGACACTGAAGTTTTGGAGATTACAGAAATCACGAGAGCCAATACAATCTGATGTGTTTAAATCCCATAAGCGAACTTCATGATCCAAACTTCCACTAGCAATTATTTCTGGATTCAAAGGATGAAACCTAACCTGTAAGAATGCCATTAGTTACTTTACTTCCATGTCAAAATAATATTCACAATTTAGTGGTTGGAATTTACCCATACCAAAAAACGCATGCCCCAGAAGCAACTACCTAAACTATTAATTAATTAATAAAATGTTAAACAATTTGGACCAGCTAATTGATATTTCATATTTCAAATAAATTGGATAAAGGTATTTAATTTGTATCTGTTTTTTTTTTCAGCAGACTTCCATTTACATAGATTTTACCCTTAGCTAAATAGTTCATAGAGAAAGATGCAAATATTAGCAAAAAAAAAATAAAAATTGAAGAATAAATAGATCTGCAATTGCACAAGTCATACGTACCACCCAAGGTGTCCTTCTATGGCCGCTCAAAACCTTTACGCATCTGCCAGTTTGGCAATCAATTATCTTTACAGTGTGGTCACCACTGAAAGCATGAAAAGATTTCAATTAGAGTCAAGATCAGAAATAAGTATTCAGATCTAAATAAGTGAACAAGATTAGAAAACTTACTGCGTAGAAGCAAGTTTTCTTCCATCGGGGCTGAATGCTGCTGCAATGGTTGACCTTGGAGGAGGCACTAAATCACAATACTTGGCTGACAAATGCCGCAGTGACTCTGCTTCAACCCTGAAAGATCAATGAAATACAGATTCAATTAATACAGCATGGCATCTTTGATAACCTAATATAAAAGGTCCAAAAGGTCTCACACTAAAACCTGCTTGAAAAAACTTAAAAAAGAGAACTGTTGGTACCATGAGCGGAGGCCACGTTTCGCATCTCTGATTGCTTCACCCTTAGGCCCATAGGTGGAACTAGATTTCCTATTAGAAGTTTCTCCCCACCGCCTTGTGGGCACATGTTTTGCTCTAGGAGAAATCTCCCTCCGTGCTATCAAGGCAACCACATTTCTGCCACTGAAAAAGAAAATTAAGAAGTTCACTTATTCAGAAGGACATCATATGAATAAAAACATGTCTCAGGGTGGCATTTAGATATGTGGGTTGGATTTTTACCGTAAACAGTTGAATTAGGCTTTACAAAAAGTAATATTATGATGTTGTTAGTTACACATAAATTTCACTATTTAGGAAATTCAAAGTGTTCAAATAATCAAGGAAAAATTATTATTTCACATCCACCCTCTAAATTGTTGTAATTTTTAACATTGTGTTTTCTTCTCAATTAATGTATCAAAACTCTTTCTTTATATGATCTTTTAACATTTCATACCAATAATTCACATTCAGTAGTCCAACCAAATCTCTCATTTTTCCCTATTCCCGGAATCCAGAGTCATAGCTATATAATCATTGATTTCACTACTAAAGCGTACAAGCGGTCCAAGTCCATCAGTACTTGATCCTCAACACTGAACCGTCCTATGTACTCGAGCCTTATTTCATAATTCGAACAAGCATTTCACACAAACTAAACGAAAGGCCACATTGAACTTAAAATCTTTTAAGTGCAACCAATCACTACACGACGTGATGAAATTCATATAAACAAAAACATAAAAAAATGAATGCAAAAATCCAACTTAAACTAAACACAATGATTATCGGAGTGTAGATTCCTAATTACACTAATATAACTCAAATCCAACACTTGCAAGAAATCAAATTTAGCTAAATTCCAGAATCCGAAACGCATATGGATCGAATTACAGCAAACAAAAAAACCCCTAACCCAGAGGGTTTGGAATTCTGACCTGCAGTGATGATGCTCGGCGGACAGCCATGGAGAAATCGGGGTCTGATCCAACGTTCGCGAAGGTCCAGCCATCGTAAGATCGGACTTCATGGGAATTTAGCCGAATTTGCGACTCCAATTTCGGAATTTGAATTTTGAGGAGAACTCTGTGAAATCTGAATCTGAGGAGAAAGAAAATCGAGGCTTCTCTGATGCGAGGAAGTGCTGGTTTGGTATCGGTCTGCTTTGAAAAATAAGCGCTGTTAGAATAAATGTGTCGTGAGAATAAGCGAATGTGAAATAAATCAGCAGAGTGTTTGGTAAACGTTTTTGTAAAAGTGTTTTTGGAAGAAAAAAAGCAGTCTGATAGTGGGTCTTTTCATTAAAGGAGCACTGTAACTCTGTGTGCTTTGAAAAAAAACTAGTTTTCCAAAGCTGCAAATAGCAGCTTCAGCTTTTTCCTTTGATTTCAGCTTATTCTCACAGCAGCTTTCAAAATAAGTCATTTTTTTTTCAATTTAACAAGCAGCTTTCAAAATAAGTCATTTTTTTTCAATTTACCAAATGCTTAAAATCTTCACAACTTTTTTTCATGAGTACTTTTTTTTTTTTAATCACCTCACTCCCAAACCTGAAGAAGAGAACAAGAGTCCGTGCCTCTCTCTTTCCTATGTTGTGCTTGCTTCGTTGGTTTTACAAAAAGGACGAACCCGCAGTCGTCGCTTTTTTACCAAAATACCCCTTTTTGATTCCTTCCCGTACTTCCCAACCGTCCATCTGAATTTCTCGAGGGTTCGTATTGCGCCACGTCAGTGTCAAATTTTTCAAATTTTAGAAATCAAAACGTTATGTCGTTTTTTCTCCCTCCCGGTGCATTGGTCAGAGACAAACTTGGACCGTCCAATTACGCATTGCCTGACGTATTAACTTTTTGACACAAAAATAAAAGTAAATACCTATGAAGATCCGACCTGGAATTTCAAACAAGAAAACGTGCACAATTGATATAAATACTGTTACAATAACATCTCGTTGGAGTTATTGTCAAACCAATTTCCAATTGTTAGCTTCGGTCTTCAGAGTGTGTTATGTTGCTTTATTACTTTTGGTTTTGGGTTGTGAGAAAAGCAGCAAGCTAAAAACCGAAAAAGGTTTTATCACTTGGTACATTTTAAACTTGGTGGGCACGGCATAAGTTTAGTTATTAGTTCGCTTCTTACAACCATATGCGACTAAGGTTTGTCTTCCGTTGCCTTATGGGCATGGTCGTCTCTGAGATTTCGGGAGCTATGTGCGAAATTTATAAAAGGGCCCTCTTTAAGATAATTTTTCAAAAAATAAAATAAAAAAGGGGAAACTTGATATAACTCTAATTTTTTGAGTCAATAGTAGGAATGGTCCAATTTATTAAAATAAGTCCAATTCTTTAAATTTAATTATTTTATTATCAATAATTATCTCTTAAAAGAAAAAACTTATTGTAAAAATCAAATTTCTTCCTAATTATCTCTTTGATCATCTCTTTTTATATAATTTTTTGTTATTTCTTGTTCTTCCTCCTGTTTTAACCTATTTATAGATTTTTTTTTAATTTTTGTAATCAACCTATATCACAGGTTAATTGTATTTATCTACCTATATAACAAATTTTTTTTCACAGTCAACCTATCATAAATTAATGTGTGTTACTTGTAGGTATATTATGTTTTTTTTCTACCTTTTAGTTAGGTTTCATATCTCACTTATAGCTATAATATACATTCATATATTTTGCTACTTGAGTTAGGGTAGAATGTTTTGCAGATAGATTTATGTTAGTATATTAATTTTTTTTTTGTTTATAAGATATTAATTAGATATTTTGGGGTTGAAAAATGCATAATATTAAAAGATTTTAATTGATTTTTAATATTTTTAGAAAAATATAAAAGGAGTATAAAAGAAATAAAAACATATAATTAGATAACTGGAGTCACTCCTAAAAACACTCTATGTTTTTGGACCTGGATCTAAAAGCCCCAAATAAAAAAGGACAATGTGTTGATGCTAGAAAGTAATAACTTGAATCAAAACAGTCACTTAGTACTACGGTCTAGTGGTACTTCGATTCACTTGAAAGTGAGGTCTAGGTTCGATTCTCGTTAAAGGTAAATTTGAACAACATTATTATGATTGGCCAATTATGAGGCTTAACTCACTCTCACATCCCCTTAATGTAGGTAATATCGTTTTGTTGAAATAAAGAAAAAAACACTTAAATCAAAACAAACTTTAGGATTCACTTGCACTTCAATCTTAAATAACCAGGCAAGAAAAAAAACGCTTCAAAAACTCTAACTTCAATGTTTCACTTAAATACATAGCATTATTATATAATAAAATTGAAAAATAAAACTTTTTTAGAGTGTTGTTATTGGTACTTCTTGTACATCTTAGTTTTACTTCTGTTATATTATGATTGCCACAGAACGCTTGAGTATAGAATTAATTCTGATGGGAAGCCTCAAGGTCTACACTTAAGGCCCTACAAAGGCACATATCTGGGTTCGTTTTGCTCTTCGGGCTCGGGTGATTAAAGTATAACAGTTGTAAAACTTATACAACAATGAAACAACCACTATATGTTCGAGTACTTGGTTAAGTTTTGATTGCAAGCCTCAAAGCTTACACCTAAGGCCCTACAAAGGCACATTTCATAGCTAACTTGGTCTCTCGGGCATATACAATTAAACTAAACATCTGTTTTACATCTGTCATGCTAAAGATGACAGTGGCACGCCTGAACACCTAAAGTTAATTTTGATTGTGGGCCTCAAGGCCTACACCTAAGGCCCCACAAAGGCACCTTTCAGAATTAACTTTGTCCTTCTCTTACAGCCGCCAATAAGCAGAAGCTTGACAGACAATATCAACCGGCGCCAACCTCTTGGGGAGCTGTGTACTCGTTGGCCAGGAAACATCCTCATCGGAAATTCCTCCAGACGAACATAGTTTTGGCACGCCCGGTGAGACCCTTGATCAAATCTTACTTATCAAAGAAATATGTCAAAAATACCTGAAGATTTAAAAAGGTCGGCTGTTCCAAAAATAATAATTAATGAAGACTTGCAAACTACCTTGTTGCAAATGCTGCAAAGATTGGAAAACGCCTTCGTAGGCTTCAGAAGGAAAACAGACCTGGTTATGAGACCAACTATTCCCATATCTTTACCTCTACTTGGGGAAAAAGATGATGGGGAAGAAGAAAGAAAAAAGTTTGAGGCCAGCTAGCCAGATGAAGAAATGACATTGGTAAAAAATTCACCTAGCCCATTAATATTCTTACAGAAAGATCAGGGGTAAGTCGAAGCAATGGTGGACAAACATGGAGATCCCTTTTCAGATACCCCAGTAAATATGATTAATTTAGCATGGGCCGAGAAGGGGAAAGGAAAGGTTGCAAAGGAGACAAAAGAAGAAAGGCTGGCTGAAAAATCCACAAAATGGGTGATCAAATTGCTCGAACATCCAAAAGCAGCCATAATCAAATGGATGGTTATGTGCAGTAGATGTCAATGCGAGTGTGAGCTCGAAATACCGCCATCAGGAGTCCTCATTGATCATGAGCTGATCAGAAGGAAAGAAGAAGAAGAAAGAAAAGAAGCCCGTGAGAAAGCTAGGCGGACAGCAGGAAGAGATACTTCCCAAATTGTTTTTCAGCAGTTGGGAGGGGATTCCCAACCTAGAACTTTATCAGAAATGTTTCGAAATCATGAAGCTTCTGAAAAGGCGGAAGACAAGGAGGCCAAAGGTCCAAAAGAGATGGAGATAGGACATCCTCAATATGGCCATACAGGAAGAGAAGTCAAAAGAAATGATAGGATAACAAATCCTATAAAAAAGGATAATCCTGCCCGTCTCGGGCGAAAATTGTACATGGTTGGAAAAAATGGGCAACCCGCCAAACAAATGGGAGCCTCTATGATTAGAATGGTCCAAAGGCAGCACAAAGCCTACATAAACTCTTTAAAGACTCTCGTGACGTCTGAAGCCTCCAAGAATCAAAACTTTGAAAAAACATCATCTGGGGGAAGTAGTCAGTTCCACTAGAGGAGTAAAAAAGAGGTGGATAGGGCTAATAGCAAAACAGAAGGCGAAGGAAACCATGTACCACAAAGCCTACACCTTGGGAAGTACAAGATCTTAAGGAGAGCTCAAGAAGATATGATAATGATACCAACTCCCGGATGAATGACAGAACCTATTTGTTTTGGAACTGTTTCGCCCGAAAGGAAACTCCCTTCTATATCATTGGTGGATCCTTTCGATGAAGTGCCAAAACAGATACCAGATTCAGGCATAAATCAACATGAAGGGGCACCAGAACCACTACTCCCAGAAGATGCGATGGCCTGGTTAGATGAGTTTATGGGCCAAATCGGGAGCAAGAAAGAAGACTTTCTAGAGCCTAGCAATTTTCATATCAACATGACGTATGTGTTATCCGCCATGTTTAGTGTCGAGCCTGATCAGCCCGCCACTATGGAAGGTGACTATTTGACAGCGGAGCCAATGATAGCCATGTCAGTGTTGAAGTAGCTGGAGAGGGAGAGTTGGGAAAAGCTGAATTATCCAAGACATCCAAGGATGGTCTATTAAGGATTTATACAAATAAAATGGTGTTCAGCCGCCCAAACATATTGCTAGCCAACCATCTTAAGCCAATATATGTTGCAGTTCATTTGGAGGGGGTGCCCTTCAAAAGGGTTTTGATTGATGGTGGAGCGGCTGTTAACATACTACCAGCCAAGCAAATGAAGAAGATGGGGAGAGGTGTAAAAGATCTCATTCCCACGGACCTCACGGTTTCAAGCTTCTCGGGCGCTATCACCAAAACTCATGGGATGTTGCCCTTAGAAGTGGACTTGGGATCCAAACAAATCATGCTGGCGTTCTTTGTGGATTACACTTCCACCTATAGAGCATTACTCGGAAGGGACTGGATCCATCAAAGTCTCGCCATACCCTCCACTCTACATCAGCAAGTTACTGTTTACCATGAGGCAAGGACGGAGGGACCAGGCTTTTGGGAGATGGTGGAGGCCGAATCACGACCATTTCTCCCTACAGCCAATGTTGTAGAGGCAAGTTTCTACAATCCCAATTTATGAATTCTGCAGTGTTCAGGAGCAGATAAGAACGGTCGCCCTACCAAGGTGACGGCCCAAAAACTCTTAGAACAAAGAATGCTTCTCACTAGAGAGAAATAGGATAGACCATGCATCGTTCCAACATCCCAACACCATCAATGACAAAACAAAAGAGAAAGGATCAGGTAATGGTAATTAGGTCCATGATCAAAATACTGTTGGTGTATGGGAGAGGAAGAAACCAAGAAAATGAGCTCTTAGAAAAAGAAGAGCAAGAATGGCAGTTAGGAACTCCGACCAGCCATGATAAAAGCAAATGAGAGCTTTGCGGAGAAGAATTGGATGCGGCCATACGAATGGCCGAGTGCATATATGACTTGGATGCAGCCATACGAATGGCTGGTCGGAGTTCCTAGCTGCCATTCCTGCTCTTCTTTTTCTAAGAGCTCCCTTTCTTGCTTTCTTCCTCTCCCATACACCAACAGTCTTTTGATCAAGAACCTAATTGCCATTACCTGATCATTTCTCTTTTGTTCTGTCATTGATGGTGTTGGGATGTTGGGACGATGCAGGCTCTATCCCATTCCTCTCTAGTGAGCAGCATTCCTTGTTCTAAGAGTTTTTGGATCATCACCTTGGTAGGGCAGCCGTTCTTATTTGCTCTTGAACATTGCATAATTCCTACATTGGGATTGTAAAAACTTGCCCTTGCAACATTGGCGGTAAGGAGAAATGGCCGTGATTCGACCTTCACCATCTCTCAAAAGCCTGGTCCCTCCGTCATTGCCTCATGGTAAACAACAACTTGCTGATGTAGAGTGAAGGGTATGGCGAGACTTTGATGGATCCAATCTCTTCCGAGTAATGCTCCATAGGTGGAAGTGCAATCCACCATAAAGAACGCCATCATGATTTGTTTGGACCCCAAGTCCATTTCTAAGGGCAATATCTCATGAGTTTTAGTGATAGTGCCCGAGAAGCTTGAAACCGTGAAATCTATGGGAAAGAGATCTTCTACACCTCTCCCCATCTTCTTCATTTGCTTGGTTGGTAGTATGTTAACATCCACTCCACCATCAATCAAAACCCTTTTGAAGGGCACCCCCTCCAAATGAGCTGCAATATATATTGGCTGAAGATGGTTGGCTAGCAACATGTTTGGGCGGCTGAACACCATTTTATCTGTATAGATCCTTAATGGACCATCCTTGGATGTCTCGGATAATTCAGCTTTTCCCAACTCTCCCTCTCCAGCTACTTCAACACTGACATGGCCATCATTAGCTCCGCTGTCAAATAGTCACCTTCCATAGTGGCGAGCTGATCAGGCTCGGCACCAAACATGGCAGATAACACATACGTCATGTTAATATGAAAATTGCTAAGCTCTGGAAAGTCTTATTTCTTCCTCCCGATTTGGCCCACAAACTCATCTAACTAAGCCATCGCATCTTCTAGGAGTAGTGGTTCTGGTGCCATTTCCTGTTGATTTATGCCAGGATCTGGTATCTCTTTTGGCACCTCACCGAAAGGATCCACCAATGATATAGAAGGGAGTCTTCTTTCGGGCAAAACAGTTCCAAAACAAATAGGTTATGTCCTCCATCCGAGAGTTGGCATCAGTATCATATCTTCTTGAGCTCTCCTCAAGATCCTGTACTTCCCAGGGTGTAGGCTTTGTGGTACATGATTTCCTTCGCCTTCTGTTTTGCTATTAGCCATCTCCACCTCTTTTTTACTCCTCCAGTTGAACTGACTACTTCCCCCAGATGATGTTTTTTCAAACTTTTGATTCTTGGAGGCTTCAGACGTCGCGGGAATTTTTAAAGATTTCATGTAGGCTTTGTGCTGCCTCTAGACCCTTCTAATCATGGAGGCTCCTATTTGCTTAGCTGGTTGCCCATTTTTTCCAACCACGTACCATTTTCGCCCGAGACGAGCAGGATTATTCTTTTTGACAGGATTTGTTATCCTATCATTTCTTTTGACTTCTCTTCCTGTATGGCCATATTGAGGATGCCATATCTCCCTTTCTTTTGGACCTTTGGCCTCTTTGTATTCCATCTCTTCAGAAGCTTCATGATTTCGAAACATTTCTGATAAAGCTCAAAGTTGGGAATCCCCTCCCAATAGCTGAAAAACACTTCGGGAAGTATCTATTCCTACTGTCCGCCTAGCTTTCTCACAGGCTTCTTTTCTTTCGTCTTCTTTTTTCCTCCTGATCAGCTCATGATCAATGAGGCCTCCAACTGGTAGTATTTCGAGCTTACACTCACATTGGCATTTACTGCACGGAATCATCCCTTTGATTATGGTTGTTTTTGGATGTTCGGGCAATTTGATCACCCTTTTTGCGGATTTATCAGCCGACCTTTCTTTTTCTATCTCCTTTGCAACCTTTCCTTTCCCCTTCTCGGCCCATGCTAAATTAATCATATTTACTAGGCCTTTGAAAAGGGATCTGCATGCTTGTCCACCATTGCTTCGACTTGCCCCTGATCTTTCTGTAAGAATATTAATGGGTTAGGTGGATTTTTTACCAAGGTCATTTCTTCATTTGGCTGGCTGACCTCAAGCTTTTTTCTTTCTTCTTCCCCATCATCTTTTTCCCCAAGTAAAGGTAAAGAAATGGGAATAGTTGGTCCCATAACCAGGTCTGTTTTCCTTCTGAAGCCTACGGAGGCGTTTTCCAATCTTTGCAACAAGGTAGTTTGCAAGTCTTCATTAATTATTTTTTCTGGAACAGCCAACCTTTTTAAATCTTCAGGTTTTTTGACATATTTCTTTGACAAGTAAGATTTGATCAAGGGTCCCACCGGGCGTGTCAAAACTATGTTCGTCTAGAGGAATTTTCGATGGGGACGTTTCCTGACCGACGAGCGCACAGCTCCCCAAAAGGTTGGCGCCAATTGATATTTTCTATCGGGCTTCTGCTTATTGGCGGCTGTAAGAGAATGACATAGTTAATTCTGAAATGTGCCTTTGTGGGGCCTTAGGTGTAGGCCTTGAGGCTCACAATCAAAATTAACTTTAGGTGTTCAGGCGTGCCACTGCCATCTTTAGCATGACAGATGTAAAACAGATGTTTAGTGTAATTGTATATGCTTAAGAGACCAAGTTGGCTATGAAATGTGTCTTTGCAGGGCTTTAAGTGTAAGCCTTGAGGCTCGCAATCAAAACTTAATCAAGTACTCGAACATATAGTGGTTGTTTCATTGTTGCAGAAGTTTTACAACTGTTATACTTTAATCACCCGAGCCCGAAGAGCAGAACGAACCCAGATAGGTGCCTTTGTACAACCTTAAGTTTAGGCCTTGAGGCTTCCCATCAGAATTAATTTTATATTCAAGCGTTCTGTGGCAATCATAATATAACAGAAGTAAAACTAAGAAATAGGCTGATTACTTGCGTCCCAAGTAACTTCGGACTTCTTGTTATCAAGGATTGTCGTGGATGGGTTAAGTCCACATAAAGTTCTTTTTTATGCCTTGAAACCAATGACTTTTGATTTATAAATCTTGTATGCTCGAAAGGTTAGAACTTAGATCTGGTCAAGCTATGAGTGTGGATTCCAACTTTATATTTTGCATGGTTGGGAACCATTAAACCGACTAGATCCAAGAACCAAGAAGCCTTTTAATCAGAAACTTGCTAGAAATAACTTGGATACAGATGGAAGTATACATCATATTACTAGATTTATGAATGAAAAGATAGAACAAAAAGGGTCGGGCAAGGTTTCACCTTGTCGGGCAAGGCTGATTGTCTTGCAACTTCTTCTCTTTGTGATTTACAAAGGGTTTGAGTGCTAAAAGTGGAGATTGGGAGATGAGTTTACAAGAGGGAATCGATACTACATCAAGATTCAGACAAGGTAACAGACCTTTTACAAAGGCTTTTAGTGAAGGTTGATCATGAAAAGGATGAAGGATTGGTGCTGACTACAGCTTCGTATGCAAATCTAGCTTGAGCAGAATTTGTGTATTTGTTTGTTTGATTGAGTGTCCTTATCTCTGATTTCTCTTTCCCTTTTTATAGATGATTTGGCTTGGCTGCTGAATGCGGCTCAAGGGTAGTGACTCATCAGCTTTTTACTTGTACTGCCATTGTAAAGTACTTTTAGGCTGATTAGCTGGCTAGTCTACACCACTTGACTTCTAGGTAGGTGAGCAAGTGGCTCAAGTGATCTGCACTTAGTCGGGAAAAGGGCTTCTTCCGCCTTCTGGGCTTCGGCTGAGCCTTGGGCTTCCTTCCTTCTATACCTTCTTCTGGGCTAACTTCCTTTTGAGCCCAAAGTTCCAGTTTTAATCCAAACAGACCCTCAATGCGAACCTTCACTAGGTATGATGGTTAAGTCCGACTTATCGGGGCAACTACCAAGATGGTGATCCTTCGACCAAACTTGTAAAAGTTCAAACAAGCTCAGAACGAGGAAACTGCCTGACCAAAGGTGTTGGGGATAGTGCGGTGTTTGACCAAAGGTGTTGGAAATAGTAGTTATTTGATGAAAATCCTTTTTCTCACGTTTTAGGAAACTCCACGTGAGTCCTGAGGAACCCATTTCCCTAGTTTTAGAAGAAAAAAACGCCCAAGCGAGATAAAGGGGAAGGTTGAAGATGATCTGTTGGCTGGGCATAAGAAGCTTTTGACTTAAGTTAATTGTTCAAAAATGAAGATTTGAACCAGAATTTATAGGAACATCAAATGATAGCTCAAAGGTCGTGGGAAGAGCAAGAAACGCGTGATTGCATTAATCACGTCCGGAAGACACAAGTTCCGAGAGCAGGCATACATGCGCATGTAGCTATTCAATCAATATTGGCACCTGGAATTCTAGCCTGAATATTAATTGAAGGGGGCACTGTTTGGGTTAAAACTAGAATTTTTTGCTCAAAAGGAAGTTAGCCCAGAAGAAGGTATAGAAGGAAGGAAATCCAAGGCTCAGCCGAAGCCCAGAAGGCGGAAGAAGCCATTTTCCCGACTAAGTGCAGATCACTTGAGCCACTTGCTCACCTACCTAGAAGTCAAGTGGTTTAGACTAGCCAGCTAATCAGCCCAAAAATACTTTACAATGGTAGTACAAGTAAAAAGCTGATAAGTCACTACTCTTCAGCCGCATTCGGGCAAGATCAATGCTGCAGGCAGCCAAGCCAAATCATCTATAAAAAGGGAAAGAGAAATAAAAAATAAGGACACTCAATCAAACAAACAAATACACAAACTCTGCTCAAGCCAGATTTGCATACGAAGCTGTAGTCAGCACCAAGCCTTCATCCTTTTCAAGATCAACCTTCACCAAAAGCCTTTGTAAAAGCTATGCTACCTTGTCTGAATCTTGTTGTAGTATCGATTCCCTCTTGTAAACTCATCTCCCAATCTTCACTTCTAACACTCAAATCCTTTGTAAATCACAAATAGATGAAGTTGCAAGATGATCAGCCTTGCCCGACAAGGTGAAACCTTGCCTGACCCTCTTTGTTCTGTCTTTTCATTCATAAATCTAGTAATATAATGTATACTTCCATCTGTATCCAAGTTATTTATAGCAAGTTTATGATTAAAAGGCTTCTTGGTTCTTGGATCTGGTCGGTTTAATAGTACCCAACCATGCAAAATATAAAGTTGGAATCCGCACTCATAGCTTGACCAGATCTAAGTTTTAACCTTTCGGGCATACAAGATTTATCAATCAAAAGTCATTGGTCTCAAGGCATAAAAAAGAACTTTATGTGGACTTAACCCATCCACGACAATCTTTGATAATAAGAAGTCCGAAGTTACTTGGGGCGCAAGTAATCAGCCTATTTCTTAGTTTTACTTCTATTATATTATGATTGCCAAGAACGCATGAGTATAGAATTAATTCTGATGGGAAGCCTCAATGCCTATACTTAAGGCCCTACAAAGGCACCCATCTGGGTTCGTTCTGCTCTTCGGGCTCGGGTGATTAAAGTATAACAGTTGTAAAACTTCTGCAACAATGAAACAACCAGTACTTGGTTAAGTTTTGATTGCGAGCCTCAAGGCCTACACCTAAAGCCCTACAAAGGCACATTTCATAGCTAACTTGGTCTCTTGGGCATATACAATTAAACTAAACATCTGTTTTACATTTGTCATGCTAAAGATGGCAGTGGCACGCCTGAACACCTAAAGTTAATTTTGATTGTGAGCCTTAAGGCCTACACCTAAGGCCCCACAAATGCACCTTTCAGAATTAACTCTATCCTTCTCTTACAGCCGCCAATAAGCAAAAGCCCGACAGACAATATCAACCGGCGCCAACCTCTTGGGGAGCTGTGTACTCGTCGGTCGGCCAGGAAACGTCCCCATCGGAAATTCCTCCAAACGAACAAGTGGTGGTGCTGAGCTTTGTGGTGGCAGCGATTGCTGGTTTATGGAATTATTTTGTGGTTATTAGGGTTACTGTTTCGGAGCTACTTTCAACGTTAGGGGGGTTGGCTCAAAATGGAAATCTGCACCAAAATTTTCAGAAAACATATTCACACTCAATAACGAATAGGAGCTTGAAAAGAACAAAAGCCATATATACATGGGTGAGAGGATGTAAAATAGGAGATATGATCTTTTCAACTGAGCTTCTGAGGTTGAATCTTGTAAGGTCGGCTCGACCCCCATATACGGATGGTATGATCATCGCTTGCTGATGCCAGCATGTGCGGTCTCTTATGATTCCAACTCACACAGTTCACGGTCATTGAATGCCCATGCAAAACCTCTATCGGCCTAGAATTTCATGAGTTCCAAATGTATACCTAGACGAGGTTCCATTTGGTTCATTGGATACAAGAATGATTTGTATCTCAGCATATGTAGGCAAATTCTCAAATTTGGGAAGCATACCTGTGAATTCTCACTACCACTGGCAATAAATGTGTTGTTCAATCCACCGAAGCAGGAGCGTATCACATACTTGCTCTGCTTGTGGCCCGTAAACTTCAGCGGCTTCTCCCACTCCCCAACGACATCCCACATATGAATCTCCTGGCTATTTAGGTTGACAATAAAGAACTTACTGTCTCCAGAAATTGAAAGGGATGTGATAGAATTGTCTTTAGAAATGACACGTTCGACATTTGTTCCCACATTTAAAATTTGAATTTCTTTATCAGAGAAAATGCTGATAAGATTTTCCCCATCTGGTGTCACAGCAAGATCTAAAATCTTGGGCATCCTTATCCCTCTCCATGCTTTCAACTCGCTGACATCACAAGTCGCTTTGAGTCAGGAAACCAAGCACATGAGCTGACAATAAGCCGGGATCCCCAAATGTATGCTTGCATGTACCTGTTTCCACATCCCATAGTTTGAGGACTTCAACATTTCCACATGTAAGCAACTTTGAGTCGTCGGGGCTCCATGCTAGAAAGGATACCGGTTTCTGGTGACTCCTCAGAGTATGTTGTAATGTCACCCTACCTTTCTCCAGCACCTGGCAAGGTGGTATGCAATTAGTGTTATATTTTGTCATTTTTAGCTGTCTAGATTGTAAGTTTCTCAACATAAACAACTCTTTAAGCATTCAGTTTATACGAACATGAAAGTTGGATTTAAAGTAATAATCATATATGTTAAGATCCCATATGGCATTTATATCCGCTTCACTTTATAAAAACTATATTAACATCGGCATAATATGTTTGGGAACAATATTAATGCTTTCACTGAATTACCAAATTTAATGATTAAACAGACACCTCTTTGGATCATGCATTCGTCCACGTGACACAACATAGTTTTTTCTGTTATATTGACGTAGCTTAAGAATAGATCCTTCCTAAAACAGAAAAACTATTTTTCATTCCTTGTCAATTTTAAAGAGTACTAAAAGCAAGATTTTCAATGATCTTGAAAAAAAATCTCCTTCCCACTGTTTTCCTAAATCTGCAATAGTTCTCATACAAATCCTCTCTTCTTATTTTTCCTTCCATATGATCTTTTTCGAGAAACTCCGCCTTGTAAGTTTATCTTACATTGCCGGTCCCAAGCCCGGATAAAGAAGGAGGGGGAGGGCGTCAGGTAGTCGACAGCCGGCACTCCATGATCACGTCGAATCCTTATGAAAATGAATCCAGAACGAAATCGCGCTAAAGCTAGGGCGTCACCCGTAAGTGGCGCGCTGTGTGGCCTGAGCACAGTGATAAGTGAGCAAGGGTCGCTGTATCTCCATCGGCACCCGGATACAGTGTTAAATGAGCAAGGGGGCTATAGAAACTTCTTTTCGAACGACTCCACTCAAAGTTGTTTAGGAGCATATGCTCCTATCAACTTTACACGGGACACACAAAAGAAGTACTTTGATCCTATTCGACGGGGAAGGGTGAAGAAGCTAGGACAGAAGGGTAGAGTTCAAGAGAGCAAAATGCGTTTAGGAACGTGGAATATAGGAACCTTGACAGGAAAATCTATGGAAGTAGTAGAAGTTATGGTGAGGAGAAGGATAAATATTATGTGCCTACAAGAAACTAAGTGGGTTGGTCGTAAGGCAAAGGATCTAGAAAACTCAGGGTTTAAACTATGGTATTCGGGCACAAATAGAACGAGAAACGGTGTTGGCATCATCGTGGACAAGACCTTGACACAAGATGTTGTAGATGTCAAGAGGGTAGGAGATAGAATCATGGCAATCAAGATTGTAATAGGACAAGAACTTATCAATGTGATTAGTGCGTACGCACCTCAAGTAGGGTTGGATACGAGTTCGAAGGAGAAATTTTGGGAAGACCTTGGAGACTTGGTGCAAGGAATTGCTCAAACGGAGAAGTTATTTATAGGAGGAGATTTAAATGGACACGTGGGCAGGGAGACAGGCAACTATGGAGGTTTTCATGGTGGCCATGGTTTTGGGGAGAGAAACGAGGATGGGGAAGCTATCTTGGATTTTGCAATGGCATATGATCTCTTCTTAGCCAACACCTTCTTTAAGAAGAGAGAAGAACATGTGATCACCTACAAGAGTGGGTCGTCAAAAACACAAATAGATTTTCTTCTAATGAGGAAAGGGGATCGTATAACTTGTAAGGATTGCAAAGTTATACCAGGAGAGAGCGTGACTAATCAACATCGCTTGTTGGTGATGGATGTACATATCAAAAGAGAGTGAGAAAAAAGAACAAGACTTGGAAGTGCCCAAGGACTAGATGGTGGAATCTAAAAGAAGAAAAACAAGCCATTTTCAAAGAGAAAGTAATCACCCAGTGTGTGTGGGATAGAGAGGGGGAAGCTAACCAAATGTGGGATTCCATGGCTAGTTGTATCCGAAAAGTAGCAAAAGAGGTATTAGGAGAGTCCAAGGGCTTTGCCCCACACCAAAAGGAATCTTGGTGGTGGAATGAGGAGGTACAAGCAAAGGTGAAGGCTAAGAAGGAATGTTGTAAAGCCTTATACAAGGATAGGACCGATGAAAATGGTGAAAGGTATAGAAAAGCGAAGCAAGAGGCGAAGAAAGCTGTGAGAGAAGCTAAGTTAGCGGCTTATGACGATATGTATAAGCGACTAGATACCAAAGAAGGAGAGTTGGATATCTATAAACTAGCTAGAGCAAGGGAAAAGAAGACAAAGTACCTAAACCAAGTGAGGTGCATCAAGGATGAGGATGGAAAGGTTCTTGCTACAGAGAACGCGGTTAAAGACAGATGGAAAGGTTATTTTCATAATCTTTTCAATGAAGGACATGAAAGGAGTGCTTCTTTAGGGGAGTTAAGTAACTCAGAAGAGTGTAGAAACTACTCTTTTTATCGTAGAATCCGGAAGGAAGAAGTGGGTGTAGCTTTGAAGAAGATGAAGCATAGAAAAGCAGTAGGCCCAGACGATATACCAATCGAAGTGTGGAAAGTTTTGGGAGAGACAGGTATAACATGGCTCACTGACCTTTTCAATAGGATTTTGAAAACGAAGAAGATGCCGAATGAGTGGCGAATGAGCACTTTGGTGCCTATCTACAAGAATAAGGGCGATGTACAAAATTGCATGAACTATAGGGGAATTAAGCTAATGAGTCATACAATGAAGCTCTGGGAGAGAGTCATTGAGCATAGATTGAGGCAAGAGACACGGGTTTCGGACAACCAATTCGGGTTCATGCCAGGGCGCTCAACCATGGAGGCAATCTATCTCTTACGAAGATTGATGGAAAGATATAGAGATGGGAAAAAGGATTTACACATGGTCTTTATAGATTTGGAAAAAGCGTATGATAGGGTCCCAAGAGACATTCTTTGGAGGATTTTAGAGAAGAAAGGAGTACGAGTAGCATATATCCAAGCTATACAGGATATGTATGAAGGAGCAAAGACTGCCGTAAGAACTCATGAAGGACAAACCGAAAGCTTTCCCATAACTGTAGGATTACATCAAGGCTCATCCTTAAGTCCTTACCTTTTTGCGTTGGTAATGGATGAGTTAACAGGACATATTCAAGGTGATATTCCTTGGTGTATGCTTTTCGCAGACGATATAATGTTGATAGATGAAACTCAGGAAGGGGTAAATGCAAAGCTTAACCTTTGGAGAGAAGTGTTGGAATCTAAAGGTCTTCGCCTAAGTCGATCAAAGACAGAATATATGGAGTGCAAGTTCAGTGCAAATGGAGGCCAAAACGAGTTAGGGGTGAGGATAGGAGATCAAGAAATACCAAAGAGCGACCGTTTTCGTTACCTAGGATCTATCTTGCAAAAGAACGGAGAATTAGATGGAGATCTCAACCATAGAATACAAGCTGGATGGATGAAGTGGAAGAGTGCATCCGGCGTGTTGTGTGACCGCCGTATGCCACTGAAGCTCAAGGGAAAATTTTATAGGACGGCAATAAGGCCGGCGATGCTGTATGGCACAGAATGTTGGGCGGTGAAGCATCAACACGTACACAAAATGGGTGTAGCGGAGATGAGGATGCTTCGTTGGATGTGTGGGCACACGAGAAAGGATAAGATTAGGAATGAGGATATCCGGGGTAAAGTAGGAGTAGCCGAAATTGAAGGAAAGATGAGAGAAAATCGGTTACGGTGGTTTGGACATGTGCAAAGAAGGCCTACTGACGCTCCGATTAGAAGATGCGACTATGAGACAGAGGTTCAAGGCCGAAGGGGCAGAGGAAGACCTAGGAAAACTTTGGAAGAGACCCTAAGAAAAGACTTAGAGTACTTGGATCTAACAGAGGACATGACACAGGACAGAACACAATGGCGTTCTAAGATTCATATAGCCGATCCCACTCAGTGACTTGGATTTTCCAAGTCTCCAACCGAGAAGTTTTCCTCACTCAGGAAATTAAGGGAACACTACCTCAACCTATATGCTCCACTCACAAAGCTTCAACATACAAGCTTCAACAAAAGAAAATTCAAAGAACTTAGCGAAGAAGGCTTTGGTGTATTTAACACAATACGTTGAAATGAAGGAAAGCTTATTTATTGATATCCCCGATAAGTTACAAATATGTACATATACTTGAGTCAAAATAAACAAACAAGAGGGAGCCTTCACAAAGGTTGCTTAGGAGAAGTCTCAGCAGTCGGTAGAGCCCCAGAAAGAGAAGGCACCGGAGGGGGATCATTCGGAGCCTCAGTACTAGACAAAACCCTAGAAGGAGGAGGCATCAGAGATTGATCATTTGGAGCCTCATTATGCGGTACAGCCTTAGAAGACGAATGCAATAAATGCCTTTGGAACAAACCCACAAATCTCTGATGATCAAGTAAAACCTGACCATCAGATTCCTTCATCTGGTCAAGCTTCCTCTTCATGTTTGTAGCATAGTCATGTGCGAGCCGGTGCAACTGTTTATTCTCATGCTTGAGCCCTCTAATCTCCTGTTTGAGACTCATCACTTCAGCCGCCAATGATTCAACTTGACGGGTTCGAGCAAATAGGCGTTGGGTCATATTAGACACAGAACCTGCACACTGAACACTGAGAGCCAGAGAATCCTTAACAGACAACTCATCAGACCGTTTGGAAAGTAGTCTGTTATCTTTGGGAGTGAGAAGGTTCCTGGCCACTACCGCAGCGGTCATATCATTCTTCATCACGGAATCCCCAACGGTAAGAGGACCAGTAGGGGAGACGAAGGATGGGCGCCATATGTTGTCTGGAGAAGGCGGGGCTGCCTCTTCAACAAGGTTCAAGTCAAAACGACGGTCGGAGGGGCCAGACATTTTCAAAGGTGTTGAAGAGAGAAGAGGTCGGACAAATCAAGATCTTAGAAGTGCAAGAATGAAGCTTCTACTGGTGGATATTCAAGTGTGCTTTGGAACTTAATGTCAGCCCCTATAAAAATCTGCACTCGACGAAGCTTCAGAAATCGAAGAGGCGCCTACTCAGAAATCGAAGAGGCGTTTGCTTTCTCAAAAGTTGGGCTGCTCAGAGACCACGAGGGTCGATCTCAGAAATCGAAGAGGTGTTTGCTTTCTCAAAAGCTGGGCTGCTCAAAGACCACAAAGGCCGATCTCAGAAATCGAAGAGGCTTGCTTTCTCAAAAGCTGGGCTGCTCAGAGACCACGAGGGCCGATTTTAGAAATCGAAGAGGCACCTACTTTTCCAGCCTTGTCAGCACCTGTCACACGCACACTTAGCTTTGCGGAAATTATGGGCATTCTGTCGAAGATTTCTGGCGAAGTAGAAAGCACATGAATCGTACTGTTCAATCACCCACTTCCGACACGCAACAGTAGCTCATGGGTACCACAGATAACTTTGCCAAAGTTCTCTGACAAAGTTGAGACACGTGAAGCTTGCAGCTCCCACTACATCGCTCTGACCAAGAAGGGTAAAAGAATTGCAAAGAAACAACACTAACAAAGTTTAGACACATAAATTTTGAAGGTCTAGCTACCATATTATTACCCACAAGGGTAAAGGAACAGTACCACTGCTGGATAATTGGAAAGTCCCGGTGTGTCAACCTCTGTGCTTCGTGGCAAGGTAGACTAGCAAACATGCCCAACCTTTACTCACATTCGAGAAAACACTCCTAACAAGATTGCTTGCTCCAAAATCGACGAGGCACCGCCCTCCGAATCTCGAGAGCCAGACTCCCAACATGATTAATTTCTCAAAAATCGAAGAGAGGGTAAAGGAACAGTACCACTGCTGGATAATTGGAAAGTCCCTGTGTGTCAACCTTTGTGCTTCGTGGCAAGGTAGACTAGCAAACATGCCCAACCTTTACTCACATTCGAGAAAACACTCCCAACAAGATTGCTTGCTCCAAAATCGAAGAGGCACCGCCCTCCGAATCTCGAGAGCCAGACTCCCAACATGATTACTTTCTCAAAATCGAAGAGAGGGTAAAGGAACAGTACCACTGCTGGATAATTGGAAAGTCCCTGTGTGTCAACCTCTGTGCTTCGTGGCAAGGTAGACTAGCAAACATGCCCAACCTTTACTCACATTCGAGAAAACACTCCCAACAAGATTGCTTGCTCCAAAATCGAAGAGGCACGGCCCTCCGAATCTCGAGAGCCAGACTCCCAACATGATTACTTTCTCAAAAATCGAAGAGACACCGCTCTCCGAATCTCGAGAGCCAGACCCCCAGCAGGATTGCTTTCTCAAAAATCGAAGAGGCATCGTTCTCCGAATCTCGAGAGCCAGACCCCCGATAGGTCTGTAATCTTCACACGCAACATCAGCTTTCCAGATACCACAAACCACTTTTTCAAAGGGCTCTGACAGAGTTAAAACATGTGAAGCTGGCAGCTCCCACTACCGTGCTATAACCAAGCAGGGTAAAGGAATAGCATTATTACTTGATGTTAGGGAGACTCCTATATATGTCGACTTCCATCCCTAACGGACAGGCAGACCTGCAAAAATGCTCAACCCTTTCTCTTATCTGAGAGGGCACTCCCAACAAAGCCTTTCGAAATATTCAGCTTTCTTTCCCCCCGATAATACCTCTGTAAACAAGCTATACTAGAGCAAGAATATCTCATATCATCAGGGTTAAAAGCAAGAGCATCCCATATCATGCTTTTTCCCTGTCTTTTCCTTTGGCCTTGTTCTTACCTGCAAGACAAGGAGAAAGAGAGCAATCAGTCAGCACTTGGAATCAAGCTTCCAACCAGGAACTGACTGCCTGGAACCCCTTACCTGATTACTTACCTGGCATTGCTCTCGAGTACTCATCTTCAACATGTTATGCTTCCAGGGAAGATACCGCATCTGCCTGAGGAACAGATAGGGCAAGTGAGAATGATACAAGGAAGCATGTGGAGACAAGCGTAACAGCACACGTGCCGATACATCCACTACTCTATCAAAAGCAAAAGTATCCCATATCAGCAGGGTCGAACGTACTCTAGATTTGATGGACTTGTTTTGACCCTCAAATTCTTCAGTCGGCCTTATACTCTGGAGGAAACCAGAAAACCCTCCAGCCCAGTTCAAGAATAAGCCTGTGGAAAGTTACTTCTTTAAAAGCAAAAGTATCCCATATCATCTCTCCTCATTTTTCTTCTCTTTATCCTTCATGCTGCCTGCAAGATAGGGAGAATGTGAACAATCAGCCGGAGCTCTGATTGCTTACCTTGTCTGTCACCTCTTTCAGCAGATCCCCCAGCTCGGCGACTTGGGGGACTCCTACTACATGGTTTGTATCTCGCTTGACCAAGCATGAAACTACAAGTAAGCTTCAAGTGAAATTGATACATTACCTTGTGCATCTCCACCAGTTACAGATATCACCCCTGGATGGAGGAAGAGTACTTCCAGAGAAAATGCCACATCTACCTATGAGACAGATAAGGCAAGTCAAGACGATACCACACTCCGGTACTTAGAAGTTTCGTGGCCACCAGATCATTCTCCCACAATATTTCCTAATGTCATTTGTACTAAATCATTCATTTGTACTCACTAAAGGAGAGTTTGAACCTATGTACTTGTGTAAACCCTTCACAATTAATGAGAACTCCTCTATTCCGTGGACGTAGCCAATCTGGGTGAACCACGTACATCTTGTGTTTGCTTTCCTATCTCTATCCATTTATATACTTATCCACACTAATGACCGGAGCAATCTAGCGAAGATCACAAAAAGTGACCGTTTTCGCTACCTAGGATCTATCTTGCAAGAGAACGGAGAATTAGATGGAGATCTCAACCATAGAATACAAGCTGGATGGATGAAGTGTAAGAGTGCATCCGGCGTGTTGTGTGACCGTCGTAGGCCACTGAAGCTCAAGGGAAAATTTTATAGGACGACAATAAGGCCAGCGATGTTGTATGGCACAGAATGTTGGGCGGTGAAGCATCAACGTACACAAAATGGGTGTAGCGGAGATGAGGATGCTTCGTGGGATGTATGGGCGCACGAGAAAGGATAAGATTGGGAATTAGGATATCCGAGGTAAAGTAGGAGTAGCCAAAATTGAAGGAAATATGAGAGAAAATCGGTTCCGGTGGTTTGGACATGTGCAAAGAAGGCCTACTGACGCTCCGGTTCGAAAATGTGACTACGGGACAGAGGTTCGGGGCCGAAGGAGTAGAGGAAGACCTAGGAAAACTTTGGAAGAGACCCTAAGAAAAGACTTGAGTACTTGGATCTAACGGAGGACATGACACAAATGAGCGCAATGGCGTTCTAGGATTCATATAGCCGACCCCACTTAGTGGGAAAAGGCTTTGTTGTTGTTGTTGTTGTTGTATGATCTTTTTCGAGAGTATATTATTGTTATATGAGCGGTGTCAAGAACCCTAAACATATACTTCTTATCCACAATTTCTTATGCATGAAGGCCACATTTCCACCAATTAAGTAAAATATTGTGTGGGTTAATATTTAATCGTTGAGAATGAAACTTCGGTACCAAAGCAATATTCAATTAGTTGAATAAATAAAATACTTATAAATTCTAATACAAATCACTCCGGATAGAATTCTATGGTACCTTCCTTATGCTCAGTCAAAATCTGCATCAGGTGAAACATGTGTTCATGTGTATGTGAGTCCTCCAATAGAAGAACATCTGAGCAAACAAAAGTAAAACCCTCATAACTTCAATTTCCAAAACATAAACATTATTGACAGCAAATCACACCTGAACAGTTTCAGTGGGGATCTGATCCCTACCATAGAAATGGTCAGCATAAAGTGAAACTGCATCCGACAAATTGTGATACATACATGAATCAATCTGGGACAAAACAGCAGTTTCAACCAGATGTTCCATCCTGTTCTCGAGCAGTGTGATTGGTGGAGGAAACAATTTTTCTAATTCTTGCAATAGTTTTTTACGCAACTCACAAACAGCAATATCATCTATTTTTCTCTGCTCCATTTCCTTCGACGACAGGGTACTGCGAGCAAGGTTATGAACTTTCCCTCTGTCTACATGTAATGTTGACACCTCTTTCTGCAAAATGGCCAGAGCCAATTTGTCATCCCCACATTTCAAATACTCCAAAAGACATTGTTTGAATACAAGAAACAAAGCAGCAGCTCTCGTATCATCTGTCAAATCATTGATGGTATTCAGGGTATCAACACAACCATCCCAATTCCCACTTGATATCTATGATTCCAGCATTTGAAAATCATCGGATTTGCATGAAATGCCAGACTCCAACTCCAAGCATGAAGCAGACTTCTCATAGCCAATTGAAAGCAGGCATTGAATTATTATCCTTACAAACTCATGTTTCTTAATTAGGCCTTTTGAGCCGAGCCTAGGAGAAACCTCCATCAGCAATGGAGTTCGGGAAATCCTAAGATGGTTTGATGAACTTCCTAGCCTTTTACAGTCTCCCCATTTCTTCCACCAGCCATGATAATCACAAGAGAAAACAAACACTCTGTCAAATGCCAAATTTCACACCTCCTATCTCGAAATGCCAGTAATGACAAATAGAAGATTACCAAAATAACCAATCCCGAAAAGAATTCGACTTTATATCTCTGAAACCAAATACCCAAACCTATACAAGACAACTGTACTCTGCGGAAAAGCTCCCTGAAACCCTAAACCTCCAATTTCGTAATCAAACAACAAAAGCAGCAAAACCAACCAAAGTTTAAACAAAAACGTACCAAGTCAACAGAAGCTCTCAAATCCCAATGCCCGAAAGTCCTCATTGAAAAAACACTAATATTCTGCAAAGAAGCTCCCTAGAACCCCAAACCTCCAATTCTGAATTCAAACAGCAAAACCAGTAAAACAAACCAAATCTCAAACGAAAACGTACCTGCGCAACAGAAGAGCTCAATTCTCAATGCCCAAAAGTCCTTTCTGAAAAAGCACTTATACGCCAACTGCAATTACCAGCTTTACCACCATAACCCACAAGCCCAAAAATACGGAAACCAACCCAAAAATGGTATCCACCCGAAATCCCTCAATACCCAAAAACCTTCAAATGGCAGTTAAAACCAGATTCAGGTACTATTGGACGCAATCAAAACGAACCCAGAACAGCTCAGAGCTAGAAGCAAATAACCATAGAGCCCGATACGCCGAAAACCGCCATGGCTGACGATGCTATTCGTTAAAATTCAACGTACCCGGAAAAGCTTCGAGCTCGAAGAAGAAGAAAAAACGATAATTCGAAAACCAGTATGAATCTTTGGCGGTGGGAAGATTGGATTGGATTGGTGGGGAGGAAATGGAAGAAGTGGTAAATTTGTGAGGGTGGATTGGAATTCTGGGAAGCAGTAAAGTGGCAGTCAATGGAAGAGATCGATAGAGTGAACGAGTACGAGAAAATATACAGAGAGCAGAGAGATCATCTTAACAAGTCATTTGCCGACGTTTTGAGGGAGAAAACCGGGTCCCAGTTTACCAGTTTATCGTATGGTTTTATCCAAGTCTAAAATACCGATCAGATCGGAAATATCGGTAGTTTAAAAATACGGTAATTTTGATGGAAATATCGGGATATTATCGATATCGATAAAAATTGAATAAAAACCATGGAAATTATAAGAAAAACTTGGAAATTTTTATTGAAATTTTGCAGAATGTTTATTTAGTCAATTATCTATTAGTTTATCACAAAACATTGGAAGGAAATGCATTGCATGATGGATTTAACTGATTTAAGTTGATTATATAGCAAGCTGGCAAACATTGTGAGTGTAGAAAATATATAGTAATTAATGAAAGAAGTTTAAACACATCATAATAATTTATATATAATGAATTAGTACAATAATTTACACTTTATACATTTCATGGTAAGATACATGAATGACTTAGTACCACATAGAGTTCCTATCAAGGTCTAAAATATCGATGATATCGGAAATATCGATAGTCCAAAAACACGAAAATTTCGATGAAAATATCGGGATAATATAGATATTTTAGACCATGGTTTTATCCAACGAGATTATAAACGGCACCTCGTTTTTGGTTATATTCAAAATAATTGGCAAAACATAAAATATTAGAAAATATATTGGTCTATAAAAATTAAATAAGGAAAACTAATAAAAAGGGTTTGAAAACTTTGAGTTTTAACGATAAGGATAAAATAAATGGTAAAGTGAATATACCAGGATTGACTTTTTAGTGTAAAAATGTGGTTTTTTGTTAAAGTGAACAGTACCATGAGCTTTTCGTTAAAGTTCTCAATTAAATACTTAGGCCTCGTTTGGCGGGTCGTATAAGGAATCGGATATGATTAATAATATGGATCCGATCGTTTGGTGTCCTCTCGTATTAAATAGTCGTCGAATTTAAATAGTCGCAAGATTAATTTAGTCAATCTACTTATTTAGTAGGGTATACACCTGCATAATAAATCCTTCCAAAAGGAGTAGATTATTAGTCTGGTTCCCTTCCCTCTCTCTCGCACTTCGTTCTTTAAGACACCTGACTGAGCACCAACAGCTGGGTGTACGTAATTCGATTGGAGACGACGGGGAGTCCCTGGGACCATGACTTCTTGGGCGCGCGCTTTTTCTCCTTGACAGTGGCGAGGACGGTGGGGATTTGGGGGAATGAGGTGGAGATTACGGTGAAAGCTACAAAGAGCTTGAGGAAATCGAAATTGGGTTTGTGGGTTTTATCGTTTTCATCATCATTGTTGGCGGGTGAGAGGTGGGAGGAGGAGGAGGATGAGACAGCGGATGGAGGGGTTTTGACGGGGTTTTGGTGAGGGGTATTGGTCAGGGGTATGGGGATAGGGAAGAAGATGAGCCCAAAAGGCAATGGTAGTCCATGGAGCTTCTCTCTCTATATCTCTCGCTTCTACATTTGATTAAGCGAAGGTTTTGTGGACGAAAAGGTGTGGCTCCATTTTTTAGCTTATTCTCTTTTGGGTTTCTGTAAGGGTGTTGGGGAGTGCGACGGAGAGATCTAGGGAAGACAAGACTGAATAGATGATTTCAATTTTTTTATTTTTTATTCTAAGTTTGATTTAAATAAAGGAAGATTTTGTTTTTGTTTTTAATTTGACCCATTTGGTGGTCGTGAATGTGTACTTTTTTTTCTTCCCATCAATCGTCAATTTTTATCTTAAAAGTAATAATACTTTGAATTCCTCTTTTCCGGTATAGTACCAAATACAGTATAAATTATACGATTATTAGTTCGATACTATACCAAACGTCAGATAAATTTAGTCAGTATTATCCAATGACTATTTATCATATCTGACTGAAATAGTCAATACAGTCTGAGCTGTCAAATGAGGCCTTAATGATCTAAAAAATATAATATGTTATGCATGACCTATGATAAAATAAAGCTTAGAGAGTGAGCATTGTGGATGCAAATTTCCGCCTTCTTCTTCTTGGACAAAATTGCACATACAAAACAATTAATACCTTAGGTTAAAACCAAGAGCCTCACGCGCCCACGATGAATTGGGGGGCTTTGGCCGAAGAACCTCTGATGCCAAAGTTAGAATTTAGAGAGAAAAGTATTTGGAGAGTTTTTGGGAGTTTTGCAAGAGTATGGAACTTAGCTTTTTAGAAGAAATAGGGTCATATATATATAGGGAATGGGTTGTCGCCGGCCCTTAAGTGTGTTTTGGGGTGTTATTTGGTGATTCAATTAGCAATTAATATATTAATTAGGTATAAATATATTAATTGGCTAATTATCATAATAAAAGAAATGTTTTGGGAGTTTTTTTGGAGGTTATGGAATGAGAATGGATGAGACAAATTTGAACTTGTTACCTATTTTGGGTACTTCTAATTTGGTTGATGGATGATTCTCCATTGCTCGCGTGTAGGAGACCTGGTATGCCTTGAGGGTAAATTTGTCATCTTCATCCAAAAATCCACGTGTCGCCTTGTGCTTATTTTTGGCTTCACAAATGCCCTCATACCTGTTGGGCTGCTCGTAAGAAAGGGCAGTAGGTGTAGAGATCTTCTTGATTTAGGAAACGCATGACTACTTCCTATTTTGATGTAGATTCCCTCTTTAATAGGAAATTAGATCCTTCTAGGAAAGAGAAATAAATTTCTCTCAAAGCCTATTTAAGTCCACCTTAAGTGGGTTATTAAATCAACTTTGGAGAGTGATTTATTCTACCCTACAAGAGAGAGAGAGAGCTTAAAGGATATTTGTTCCCCCTCCTCTAGCAATCTTCTACATCTTGTCCGTGCAAAAGATCGTTTTTCGTTGCTTTCTTCGTCTTCTCCACGCCGCACCGATGTAAGGAAAATTTAATTTTCCTTGTCTTCTTCTTGGGAGGTGCTGCCACGGGGTAGCTGTTGGGGTGGTGCGGTACGTCGACTGGCAGGGGCCAGAAGTCGACTTGTCATAGGCCAAAGAGGTGGCGTGGCATGGGTCATTGCTTGTGCTGCTCGACTTGATTAAAGCCAATGATTAGCTCGGCATGGGCCGAGGAAGTGGTGTGACATGGGCAACGGTTTAGGCTGCTTGCCAAAAATAAGAAAACTACTTGAGTTTGATTTCTCAGCTGTCGTAGATGAAGTAGTCAAGGATAAAGCTGCCAATATTGGAGCTGCTGAAGATGAAGTGTTGAATTAGTGAACTGTTAAGTGCAAAAATGGATGCTGCCCCTGACCATTTGTTACCTAGTTGATCTTCAAACATTCGATCTTTTAAGCTATGTGGCCTTCTCGCACTGAAGAGCTTACCCAGATGGGTGTCAGGGAATTAGTTTACCTTCTCGCACTGGAGAACAATTAGTTTACCCTCTCGCGTTGGAGAGCAATTAGTTTACCCTTTCATACTGGAGAGCAATTAGTTTACCCTATTGCGCTGGTTTACCTTCTCGCACTGGAGAGCAATTAGTTTATCCTCTCGCATTGAAGAGCAGACCATTTTAGGTGTAGGGGAATTGGTTTACCCTCTTGCACTGGAGAGCAGTTAGTTTATCCTCTCGCATTGGAGAGCAGACCCATATGAGTGTCGGGGAATTGGTTTACCCTATCACATTGAAGAGCATGGAAGTCGTTGTTGTGAGTGCAACTGAGGAAAACTAGACTGCTGGGACAACCAAAATAATCCTTAGCCTGCGAGGTCTTGTTTGGCGATCTGCTTGAGACTTCAAACTGCTTATAAACCTCGCGTAAGGATGTAAGCACAGTGAGCTGCTCCCAGAATTACTGTGCCATTATTAGGTGTTTTGTTGTGTGCCTTTTTTAGGCTTGGTTGACACGAGCCACATGGCAAGATCGGCATGACTAGGAGCTATGGTGCAAGATTGACACAATTATGAGCCACGGTGATAGATCAATGGCCGCCGGGAACCGTGGAACAGGCAGGCGTGGTTGTGAAATTAGAGATAAGGCTGGCTTAGGCCATGTTGTGTGCAGTGGGAGGAATTGTCTGGAGTGTTGAGAACAAGGTATGCCCTAGGTTCTTGGTAGTCGGGCTGGTGTGTCCTTCTGATACTCGTCTGCCCCCGGCGTGCCATTAGGCTAAGCTGCTGCGTTTGTCGAAACAGAAAAAGTCTTTATATCCGGCAATCTATGTGGGGTAGTCCTATTTGCTCGATCTTGTCTTTGAAAGATAACTCGCTTATGTTGGTCATGTCTCATCGAAGCGCTTTGTCAATAGCTTTGTTACGCGGGAAATTGCACAATCGCTTGGTTATGAGTATTTCTACTTCTTCATGAATTTGCCTTTGTTGGGGTGGCAGAGCCCTCAACTGCCCTCGGTCGTGACCTGTTAGTCTAGGCTGCTCTTCCATGTGTTCGGCTCTTCTATGCTCGGCTGCGGTCGGTATGATATGTTTCTATCAGGAGAATGAGTAACTCGGAGGTTGCTCTTCCGTGAGTGTATGTTTGTCCGTGGGCCTAACTGAGAGTGCACGCTCCTTCACGCGCTAAGACAGGAGTATACGCTATCTCGGGAGTCCAGTCAGAAGTATACTCCGTTAGAACGCTAGGTTTGTGACTGGTCGAATGGCTGCTTGCCAGGACGCTGCTGGAGAGGTTCTTCGTCTACCATTGTCCTACTTCGGGAGACCTTGTCTAGGGTAAGTTACATCTTGGTGCACTGCAAGAGCTGGTTCACCAAAGTCGTCTGTTGTGCAAGGGCGCTCGTCAACTCTATGACTTGTCGAGACAAGTGTTGTTCGCCACTTGGATTGGAAGAGCTTGGAAGGAATATGCCTCATTAGGCAGTGGACGCGAGATTTGAGTTGGGAAGTGTCAGATCCGTGAGAAAAATGTGGTGAGAATGCCCCCGACTCGATGGTATGTCCGGATGGTTGATATAATCTTGGGTTGACTTGGGCTGTTTGGAAAGCCACGAGAGCAGACTGGGCCACGAGAGCAGACTGGGCCACGAGAGCAAGCTGGGCCACAAGAGCAGGCTGGGTCGCGAGAGTGGGCTGCTCGGCGGGAGCAGGCTAGGCCACGAGAGCAGGCTCCTCAGCGGGAGCAGGTTGCTCAGCAGGAGCAGGCTGGGCCACGGGAGTGGGCTGCTCGTCGGGAGCAGGTTGTGCCACGAAAGCAGGCTCGGCTGCGAGAGTAGGTTGCTTGTCGGGAGCAGGCTGCTCAGTGCATGATGCATGCGAATGTGAGGCTTGGGCTCGGGCCCGTGCAAGCTTGGATGACACGACTTGGGCTCGGGCCCGTGCAAGATTGGATGGCACGGCTTGGGCCATGGTGGAACCTCGTAATGGTGGTACCACTCTGCCTATGACCACATTTAGCCTCGTGGATCGCCGTGGTCCCATTTATTGAGTATTAGAATTTTCACTTATGGAATTTTCTAAATTTTTCTAGCAATTATATTTTTCTTATACATTTTATCAAAGAACCTTTGCAAATAAAAATTTCTAAAATAAGAACGTATGAAAAATATTCAAATGGACTAGAAAATAGAGAAAAAACCTTTTTATACGAGAGTCTTATACGAGTATGGATTTCAACTCTCAATGAAAGCACCAATTTGTGGATGCAAATTTCTGCATTCTTCTTCTTGGACAAAATTGCACCTACAAAACAATTAATACCTTAGGTTAAGGCCAAGAGCCTCACACGCCCACGATGAATTTGGGGGACTTTGGCCGAAGAACCTCCGATGCCAAAGTTAGAATTTAGAGAGAAAAGTATTTGGAGAATTTTTGGGAGTTTTGCAAGAGTATGGAACTTAGCTTTTTAGAAGAAATAGAGTCATATATATAGGGAATGGGTTGTGGCCGGCCTTTAAGTGTGTTTTGGAGTGTTATTTGGTGATTCAATTAGCAATTAATATATTAATTAGGTATAAATATATTAATTGGCTAATTATCATAATAAAAGAAATGTTTTGGGAGTTTTTTGGAGGTTATGGAATGAAGATGGATAAGACAAATTTGAACTTGTTACCTATTTTGGGTACTCCTGATTTGGTTGATGGATGATTCTCCACTGCTCGCGTGTAGGAGACCCAGTATGCCTTGAGGGTAAATTTGTCATCTTCACCAAAAAATCCACGTGTCGCCTTATGATTATTTTTGGCTCCACAAGTATAAACAAATGCTATTTTAGTTATATTTGATATTGTTATCTAATATTAAGTTAGTTATATTTTCTTTTCTTTTGGAAGTGAATACGATAGCTTTATTGAACTTCAAGTGAACTACAATTTTGGAAGAAGACACCCGTTTAATAATAGTATGAGGATCCTCAAACCAAAATAGGAAATTACCAATTGACAAACCAAACTTTGCTAAACGGTGTGTCAAACCAAACTTAGTTATACTTGATATTGTTAAGCAGTTTTAACTCTTTCGATCATCTTATTAATTTTTCATGGAGTCGATACATTATCTGGACTCATCCATTACAATGAGCAGTCATTAAACTTTAATAGTTCAAAGACAAACAATTATGACATGACGGACCATCCACATAAAAATTGTGTTATACATGTGCGTGTGATCACCTACATTTTCCATTTAAAAAAAAAAGAATACCATGTACAATTAGTTATGTGAGACCATATGTTCTACCTCTTCGGAACAATGAATCTGATAATAAATTGTACACTACTGGCACTAGGGTGGTTCCCAACCAAATTCTCAAAACCACTATGTTGTCGAAATCCTAATGAGAATATATGATCTCTCACGCATTCATATAACGCAATTTTTTCAAGTTCTAAGTTGATGCAATAGGGTGCAAGGCCTTATATGTGACTCTATTCACTATAGTGACTCAGACAGTTAGCAAAGCACTCAAACTGATTCCTAAGCGCTTATAAATAGGCCACTCGACTCCTCTCAAATGGTTAGACACTCGAAACCCTCTCAAAATACATAACCTACCATCTATCACTCATTTCTAACTTGACCATTAGAGCACTTTCGCCGAGAATAGCCTCCTGATGCTTGGTTTCACAATCTCTCCCATGTCTTTGTCCTTGCAGGTTCACTTTGGCAACTTGCGTAGATTTTGGTCTAACAAATTATGTTGCCAAAGTAAACAATGTAAACGATAATCACAACATTTCCTTAAGTATCAAATCATCTTCAAATAAGATAAGATATGACCGTCAAACCATTAACTGAATTATTTAACGGGTGTATAGGCATAATACAAATTATTTATATGTTTGGTAAGATGTGGTGGTTAAAACCATCGACCAATGTAGTTATAATTGTATAAAGTTCAAATTTGAATCTTTTGAAAGCATTTGCTCCCCCATTTTCAATCAAATCAAAACATAATTGTCTCCAAATAAACAATTAAATGTCAAAGATAAAAACAGAAATCAGGTAAAACGGCCGCGTAACTCGCGTTTCGTTAGGTAGGACCCTTCCCAGACACATCCCACCCACTCGCACAATTTGCCGCGTGGATCAGACGGCCATCATTCAATTTTACCGAAGCCAGCGATGTTGCTGGAGCTCTACTCACTCTTCACTCACAGACAGCAGCAATAAAGTCTCGCCCACCTCATTCCCACTGTCTCCTCCAACCTCCCTCCTCCTTCCTCCTCCAGATCTCTCTCTCTCTCTCTCTCTCTCTCTCTCTCTCTAAAACACCCACATTCTCTCTCTACACCTCCGCCTCCGCCTCTCTCTCTCCTTTTAGATCTTTCCACCGCATTTCATGGATCTACAGTCCCCACACACTCCCCCAGTCTCCGCCTCCAATTCTCTCTCATAGTGTTTAGTCGCCGCCGCCCTTTCCACTGTTTTGTGTAGCTTAAAACCATGCAGTCTCTTGCTCAATGCGACGGAGGACCTGGCCGCCGGGTACTGCCTCGCCGGAAACCTAGAAACCTCAGGCGACTTCTCCGCTGACAGTCTCTCGAGCTCCAAGGCGGCTGCTTTTGACGATGTTCTGTGTGAATTTCGACAATGCGAACTCCGATTCTGCTTCTGCTCCTTGTTCTCCTCCTGCTCAGCTTGATTTTCTGCTGCTCAGGTTATTATTCAGCTATTTATACTGTGCATTGTAGTCAAATTGTGCTTGGGTGTTTAGTTTATGTGATTTTTTTGGCTTAAATCTTCGGTTTTTGCTCGAGAAGTAGCGGTGTATGTAGAAAACTGACGTATCTGTTTTTTTGCTATTTTTTGAATTTCATACTATTTCAGGCGATTTTTCTCTAAATACTTACTTGTCTCCCTCTCAATTGCCAAACCAACCGTTGTCTATGAAAGATTTCTCAATCGAACGCGGTAAGGATGCTACTATTTGTGCATAATTCATTTGCCAGGCTCAACCTTAATCAGTACAATTTGTTAGCATAAATATTGTATGTGATGAGCATCCTTTGAGGTCGACAATCATGTAGTTCTACTTATGCGTGGTCTTGCATATTCACCGGTGTTCTAGTTATACGTCTTGTTGTGTCGAATTTACTTCTTTTGACATCTATGCATATATAACATGTGGATGACATGGGTTGTCCTACTATTTGCAGCAAGGTCAATTTTGATGAGTCTTCCATTTGCTTCAAAACGATCCAAAACATGGGTGGTCAAGCCTTCTTTGGGAACCCTTGCACCTGCACGTTCCCCAATTCATCTTGGTATGTATTATTTTCATACTATGAATACCTAGATGTTCTAGTGTCGCCGACATTACTGTGATATTAACTTATCAATTACAGGTCCTAGCAGTTCTCCTTCACCACGGCGTGGTCATCATCGTCATCGTCATGTGAGAGTGGAACCCCATGATGTTGCTCCAGCACCATCAAAGGACCCAGGTAATTATATGCGGTTTGCGATTTATCATCAATCGCGATGCAGTCAATGCCAGGTGCCAGTCATCTGTTACAACATCCAGAAAATCAGTAGATATTCAGTTGAAATTGTTTAATTTCTATTATAACCGCAATGGGGTGGCCAAGAATTCATTAACTGGCCCAACTAATCTTCTAGTCCCTTATAAAACCATTCCTCTGCCGAGGCAAGTTAAATGTTTTAGAAGTTCTAATTATTCAATACAACAAAGTAATGGTCTGTTTAGTTGCATATTTTGGAAGATCAGTTTGAGGCTTTACCTTGTTTTTCAAAATTGGAAAGAAAATGTTTGAGGCTTTACCTTCAACTCTGGGTTGGGGGTGCTGCTGGTAACTTTTTAGCACAGCTGCTGCTAAAAAAGGGACTCGGATTCATGGAAACCAAAAACTTTTGTTTGTTTAACCATGACGTGACAAGATTATTTTACCTCAGAATATTGTTTCTCTTAGCAAGTATCTTACCAGTTTATTTATGTGATCATGTTACTTCTGGCAGGTTGTGATCAAATTTGTGTAGAGCCACTTACTGCATCTCCATTTGGTTCACCTTGTGGTTGTGTGTTTCCCATGAAAGTCAAACTCTTACTGGACATAGCTCCTTACGCTATTTTTCCAGTAATGAGTGAGCTAGAGATTGAGATTGCTGAAGGCACATATCTGACGCAAAGTCAAGTGAAAATAATGGGTGCAAGTGCTGATAGTCAAAATCAAGGAAGAACAGTGGTGGATATTAACTTGGTTCCACTAGGCGAGAGGTTTGATAATACCACTGCGATACTGACATATGATAGATTTCAGCATAAGAAAGTGCCTCTAAATTTGACCCTTTTTGGAAACTATGAAGTGGTATACATTAGTTATCCAGGTACTGTCCTCAATTCTCATGCTAATGTGTTGGCTTATCATTTCAATGTTGTTTGAGTTGACACTGAAAGAGTTATAATCAGGGATACCTTCTTCACCACCATACGAGATTTACGAAGGGCATGGACCAGCTGGAAGTGCTGGAGGTCTCCCTATCACTGCAGATTTTGGCGGCAAGAACCAGAGGATGAATATTAAAACGATTATGATTATTGCTTTGTCTGCATTTGTACTCCTGGTGGTTCTCCTTGGGGCTATCTGGGTCTTTGTGCAATGGAGGAGATTTGGAAGACCATCTAGCGCTGTCGGTCCTGCATTCACATCTTCTATTCACAAAAGATCTGGTAAGCATGTGGCTTTAATAAATTTTGAATTCAGTCCCATGGTAAATGACTTTAGACTGAGTGATTGGATATATGTGTGTAATGCAGCAGGTATGGGGTCTATCTTATCAAGTAGTATTGCAAGCTCCACTTCAGTGTCCCTAATGTCCACCATGGCTACTAGTATTCTCTCTGTCAAAACATTTCCACTAGCTGAGCTTGAGAAAGCAACAAATAAGTTCAGTTCCCAGAGGGTTTTGGGAGAAGGGGGATTTGGACGTGTTTACCATGGAATTATGGAAGATGGGACTGAAGTTGCAGTCAAAGTGCTTACAAGGGATAATCTAAATCAGAATGGAGACCGTGAATTCATTGCAGAAGTTGAGATGCTAAGCCGATTGCACCACCGTAATCTTGTGAAGTTGATAGGCATTTGTATTGAAGGGCGGACTCGCAGTTTGGTATATGAGATTGTTCGCAATGGAAGTGTTGAGTCTCACTTGCATGGTAAATTTTTCTTATCAACCTTGATCTCTTTTGGCTTGAAGTTATTTTTCTGAATTAGAACTACCAATCCCACTCTAAATATTTAACCACAGTGCATCAACTAACTAGATGTGTGTTATGATTGTTTTTCAGGCGTTGACAAGGTAAATGGACCTCTTGACTGGGAAGCACGGATGAAGATTGCCCTTGGGGCAGCAAGAGGATTAGCATATCTTCATGAAGATTCTAATCCTCGTGTTATTCACCGAGATTTTAAGGCTAGTAATGTTTTGCTGGAAGCCGATTTCACGCCCAAGGTTTCAGATTTTGGGTTGGCTAGGGAAGCAACAGAGGGAAGTCATCACATCTCTACGAGGGTCATGGGAACTTTCGGGTAATTATAGTTGCTTAAGCTATCACTATTTCAGGAGTTCGCAAAGCTTTTTAAAGTGCGATGTGTTTCCAACATTTTCGTTAGTCTTATATGGTGGTGATAAACAACATAGTTCACTAGAAATTGGGAACCTTTAGTGAATGATTAATGATACTTAGGGAACTAATTTAATTAGAATTTTATATCCTCTGTCCAGATATATGTAAAAATCCTAGTACTATATTTTGGTGACTGATGAAATAATGTTTGCTTTAATAGTCTTCTCTTGACCAAAGTGATGGATTTTACAGGTATGTTGCCCCAGAATATGCAATGACAGGGCACCTACTTGTCAAGAGCGATGTTTATAGTTATGGCGTTGTGCTGCTGGAACTTCTCTCCGGAAGAAAACCGGTTGACATGTCCCACCCTCCGGGACAGGAGAATTTAGTAACATGGGCACGACCATTGCTAACGAGCAGAGAAGGTTTGCAGCAGTTGGTGGATCCTGCCTTGGCTGGAACCTATGACTTTGACGACATGGCTAAAGTGGCAGCCATTGCTTCCATGTGCGTTCACCCTGAGGTGACCCGCAGACCTTTTATGGGTGAAGTTGTGCAGGCTCTAAAGCTGATATACAATGATACAGATGAGACTGGTGGGGACTGTTATAGTCAAAAGGAGTCTTCTGTCCCGGACTCTGACTTTAAAGGTGATCTTGCTCCATCTGATAGCAGTTGGTGGAATGCTGGCGGACTCACTCCCCGGTTAAATTATGGGCAAGCATCTTCGTTCATCACAATGGAATATAGTTCTGGACCGCTTGAAGATATGGAAAACAGACCGTTTTCAACTTCAAGTCTGGTAGGGGATGAGATATCTTTACCAATCAGACACGGCAACAGATCAGGGCCATTGAGAACAGTCCGAAGCAAGCCAGCATTCTACAGAATAAGAGGAAGTAGGAGTGAGCACAGTGGACTGCTTCCCAAGCAGCGCGCTTGGAACGATGGCTTCTGGGTTTGAACAATGTTAATTTAATTTTTTGCATTTTGTACAGCTCAAAAGGGACCTAGACGGCTTTTTAGTAAAGCCGTCGGTGTAGATTAGGGTTGGAAAATCCTGCGGATTCCATGTTTGGAGGGGGGGGGGGGGGGAAGAGAGAGAGAGAGAGAGAGGGAGAGGAGAGGAGAGGAGAGGACTATTGGCTTCTAATTTTGGAATTCTTGATTCATTTGCATACAAGTTGGATGGAGAATGTACGTTCAATGCCCTATTGATACCCCCTTGTATCTGTTGGCTAGTTTGAAGATGAACCACACCACAAAGTCTTGGTTATCTTTTTCTACAATTTTTCTTCAATGATACGTAACATCGATTGATATGAAAAATGAATAGTTGATATTGAAAATATAGGATCCAGCATTTGTGAAACTCAAATCTAACGGCTAAAACATGAATCATTGAAGCGGGACCATTTTTCTGTATAAAAATGAATAAAACGTGTCATGTAAAATACAGGTCTAAATTCCTCCCTTCTTCTACTAGGCCTCCGTGGTGTTGTCAAGTGGAGTCTTTCCTGAACCAGGGTCAAGTCAACAGCGTGTTGCATGGGCTTCCAGAGTTGAATTCACTTGAACAGCGACGTCGTTCCTTCCACGGCACGAGAATCTTCTACGCGCCTGCCTGTGAGGGAATAAAAATATGATTTCTTTGTACGCAACTTCCAATGCCAACTTCACCAACTCCTTCTCTCCCCCTCCCTCCCCACCCCGCTCCGCCAGGTCTCCTCCCTCCTCCTCCCCTCTGACCACCGCACCATTCTCCTCCAACCATTTCATTAACCAACCAAAATTCTACATCTTCTAATCACAAATATTCTCAAGTTCTAACTAACAAGCTTGACTTTCAGGTTCAAAATGTCTCACGATTCTCTCCCACGTCTCTCTGAAAACCAAATCGTCGTAAGTTCGTTTCCATTGATTAATTATCGTAGATTTTACGACCGTTATGCCCACTGGTTGCTGAATATAAATACTAAGTGAATGCGCAGCTCGGCGTCGGCGGGGTGGGCGTTGACTTTTTGGCCGCAGTGCCCTCTTATCCTAAGCCGGACGAAAAGATCAGAACCACCAGCTTAAAGGTAACTCTGATTTACCCATTAAATTTACCCCGCTGTCTCTTTAACTTGAATCGACTCAATAGCTCGGTGAATCGCACGATGGTGGCTAGGGGAGATGGGAAGACTCAACTTTTTTCGCATGCCAATGGCTACTCCCAATTGCTGTAGCTTTGCTTTGATAAATGGTGTGTTGGTTGGTTTCTTAGGTTCAAGGAGGTGGGAATACGGGTAATGCCTTAACTTGTGCAGCTCGTTTGGGTTTGACTACGAGGGTGATTTCCAAGGTCTTAAATCCTAACCCTTTCAATATCAACTTTTTTCGCCGAGCATTGGTGGTTTTCTTGTTGTTAAGTTTGTAACGTGTCTTGAGCAATGTGAAATGATAGATTGCAAATGATACGCAAGGCAGGGCTATACTGGAGGTGCTACGGAACGATGGTGTTGATACTTCTTTTATTGTGGTAAGGTTCAAAAGGAAAGCCATTCATGATCTTCATTTCACCTGCGGTGTTTTTGTCGGGCAATTATGATGTTATTAGTGATGCTTGCTGCTTAAATACTGGTTTGGTTTGGTATTGAGGTCCTTTCATAAAAAGTGGATATAAAAAAAAGCTGAGCTCAAAAAGGTGTTTGGTAAACACTTAAAAACAGCTTATTTTCACAGTTTTAGATGAAAAAAAGCTGAAAACGTGAAGCAACAAAAATGAGTTTTGAAAACAAACTGAAAACATGAAGCAACATAAATCTATGATTATATGTTGAATGTTGGATTATGATTTCTTGTTAAACATTGGATTATGTGTTTAAGATAAAGTTTATACATTTTGTTTTTTTTTTAAATAAAGTATATTTAGTAATTCACCTTTATTTGTTAAAAAAATTAAATTAATGGCACATCTAGTATTATACCTTTTTTGTCATTTCACACCGTTACAATTGTTTTACATAAAAGTTTACCAAACACTCCGCTGCTTTATTTCACAGCTGCTTATTCTCACAGCACAGCATAAATAGTTTTTTTTTCAAATCACAGTAATACCAAACCAGCCCAAGTTTCAGAACAAATAGAACTTAGACTGCTGTGCAATCTGAATATTGCTATCAACTTTCTGAGCTGAACCTGTCTTGTTTTCAGGTTTCTGAGGAGGGTAATTCACCATTTACCTACATTATTGTAGACAACGAAACGTAAGGACCTTTTCTCATATCTGCTCTCTCTCTCTCTCTCTCTCTCTCTCTCTCTCTCTCTCTCTCTCTCTCCCCACACACACACATGTGCATGCACACACAACCTTGTGGCAATCTGATCTGTTGCATATGGCCCTAGCCGGTGCTAGGCACTGACCCTTGCGGGGAGGGGCAGGGTTAGTGGATTAACTGTGAGTAGGGGCATTGAAAAATGTAGGCACTGACCCTTCATTTTGCAATGGAATTTCTCTTTACTGTAGCATCTCAAAGGCTTTCTAGATTATCATTCTCAATTTGATTGTCATTTCCAGGAAAACCCGTACCTGTATTTTTACTCCAGGGTATCCTCTCATGATGCCGGATGACCTTTCCCAATCAAGTTTATCATCTGCGTTGGATGGAGCAAGAATTGTTTATTTTGATGTACGATGGCCTGAAACTGCTTTAGTTGTTGCGCAGGAGGTGACTGTTATCTTCTAGTTCTAGTATTTGATTCTACGTTTTTAGTTTGGTAATTTCCAAATAAATTTGTTATTAACCAAAGAGAATAAGTCAGCATAACTCGATTCTCACAGGCTGCTCGGAAAAATATACCTATATTAATTGATAATGAACGGAAAAGAGAAGGGTTGGATGATCTTATAACCTTTGCTGATTATGCTGTATGCTCAGCGAAATTTCCACAGGCAAGTCAGCTGTTCTTCCCTGAACTATTATTTCTTGAAGGAAACTAGGACTTGTTTTTCCAACTGAACATATATGTTCGATTTTTTTCTTTGAAACCCCAAAAACAAGAGACAAGTCGTTGGTTTCTTTCTTGTCCGTTGCCAAACAATTTTCAGCCGAGAAAGCCAGTAAAGGAACCTTTTCTCCGGATAATGAGAGGTTTTATAGAGAACTAATCTTTTTATACCATATTATTTTTAAGTCTTAAGCATCTTGTGGATACATGTTACACTTAGGATGTATGGTAATGTGTTGCTCTGATTTTGACAATTAACTTGGAACACATTCAGAAACATTTTTTTGCTATTCACTTTTTCTTCAATCTCTTGGTCTGCATTTAAAAAAAATTTCGTACAGGATTTGCTCTACATGCATTGTATATCTTCATCATGTTGCTTAAGCTTAACGCCCATAGATCATTTGTGTGGGCAGGCATGGACAGAAGCAGCATCTGCTCCTAGTGCTCTTGTTTCGATGCTTTTGAAATTGCCAAAGCTCAAATTCGTAATTGTGACATTGGGAGAAGATGGATGCATTATGCTTGAGAGAAGTGTGGATGGTAAGTATGTATCCAGGGTTTATTGAGGAGGAAAGCACTGAAAAAACATAAAGAGTACGAAATGATGGCTTAGACTGTTGTAAAGATAGTTTGTTTCATCTGATTTGAAACTTTTACAGGTTTTCATTGACATTCTGTTTCTGGCAGAGATACCAGACATAGAAGAAATGGATGTCGACAGCTTATTGGGATCGCTGAAGCAGAGAAAGAATGATAGCACAGCTATCCCAACATATGTTTCATCGGTTAGGAACTTGAACTTCAAAAAAGACTCATTTCCGTTTCCCATTATAACAAATCAGCCTGGACCTGCTGTATAGTCCATTTTAAATTAGGATCTATTAATTTGCAAGTTTTTTTCCATTTTAATCGTTTTAGCCAGTGACAAAATTGAGAGCCAACGGAATAGGGACTGTTTGTGGGAGGTTGCTGGTGGGAACAGCTGAGAAAGTACCTCCAGAAGAACTCTTAGATACAACAGGTGCTGGAGATAGTTTTGTTGGAGCAGTTCTCTATGGTATGTTTACTCCCTCTCTCTCTCACACCCGCCCACGCACACACACGTTCTTGTTTGATTTCACGAAGTTGAATTTACTTCTTCTTGCAAATTCTTCTCACCATCCGTTGCCAGAATCTGTTAGTTTATCTATCGGAAGATGTCATCTCTACCGTGTCTTGGTACTCTTTTCACTAATGGGATTGTTGCTTTATTGTAGCTATTTGCACCAATATGCCACCAGAGAAAATGCTGCCGTTTGCTGCTCAAGTGGTAAGTAGGGGCAGTGTTTTGAAGTGGTAGGATGTTGCAACATACTTCCGTTTGTGACCTTTTCTTTTTTCTCTGGTGTGTTTCAAATTGCAGGCTGCCCTCTGCTGTAGGGCTTTAGGAGCTCGAGCTGGCCTTCCACACCGCACAGATTCACGTCTGGCATCATTTTTATCTTAAGAGCATCCCAGTGAGGGGCTCTATATAGCCCATTTTAGAGCTCTGAGGAATCTTTGGGGGGCTTTATAAAAGAATATTTCCAAATAAGGGGTTATATCTTTCAGGCTTTATATGGAGCTATATATATTTATTTATGTTGTAATTTGATTAAGTGATGATTTTTTTTTGTGTGTTAGCTTTTCTTAAGTTGATTTTTGGACTTGCTATCTTAAATTGTTTTTGTGAACCCTTCAAGCTAAAAAGTTCAAATTGTGACAAAGTTAGATTTCATCATTTATGAATCGTTTGTTGAATTAGATTCTCTTATCTCAATCTCATCCGTTGAAAGAAACAAACCCCCATTTCACCATTTGAAATAATTTGATTTTCACGTATAACACAACAATTTACCTAGCATCAATTGGTAAATTAGTATCATACAATTTTGAAAAAAATTATTTGATAATGTCACCCACAATGCCCATGAATGTAAAATCAATTTGAAATTTTAATTCTTATGGAATTTAAAACAATCATTAATTAGCCAAATTGCAAGAAAAATAAGTAAGAAAAAAGAATTTAAAAAATAATAAAAAGAGAGTATAAGTGTATTCGCAAGTGAAGGGAGAATGATAGAATTTTGCTCACATGAGTTGCTATTTTTTTTGTGGGATCCACTATTTTTTTGGGCTAGATGTAGCCTAATTTTATGCTACCCAAGAAAGGAAGTTGCTAGCCCCAGTGGTGGATCTAGCCCTATTTTTCAGCTCATTAGGGATGAAATTTCTCACTAAGGCTAGAAATGTGGTAGCCTTATG